TCTGCATATCTGAGGTTGTTGATATGCAGATGATACCACTCTAATGGCAGAAAGTGAAGAGGAACTAAAGAGCCTCTTGATGCAGGTGAAAGAGGAGAGAACAAAAGTTGGCTTGAAACTCAACATTAAGAAAACTAAGATCATGGCATCTGGTCCTCTCACTTCCTGGCAAATAGATGGGGAAGAAATAGAGGTAGTGACAGATTGTATTTTCCTGGGCTCCAAGATCAGCAGATGGGGACTGCAGCTAAGAAATTAAAAGACGCTTGCTCCTGGGGAGGAAAGCTATGGCAAATCTAGACAGCATACTAAAAAGCAGAGACATCACTCCAGGACTCCCTGGAGAAGAGCTTAATGCTGGGAACAATAGATGGCAAAAGTAGAAGGGGACGGCAGAGAATGAGTTGGCTAGATGGAGTCACTGAAGCAGTTGGTGTGAGCTTGGGTGGACTCCGGGGGATGGTGGGGGACAGGAAGACCTGGAGGAATGTTGTCCATGGGGTCGCGATGGGTCGGACACGTCTTTGTGACCAACAACAACAACAACAACAATTATCCTTCTTCAGTTGCCTGACACCCTCACATATTCTCCATCGTGCCTTTAAAACAAGTTGAAAATATATAGCATTCTTTTGGTATGGCATGCAAACTTCAAGGTGGAATTGGTATCACCTCACCTTACCAAAATCTCTTAAAATTCTACTTGCTATTAGATAGAAAAGTTTGGGGAACAGTCTCTAAAGACTCCACCTTTGCTTCAGTTGCTACAAAAAGTAGGAACTATTTTATTCTTTTTACTGCAATGGGTTTTTGCTAAAACAATTACAGTATTTTAGCTGACTACCACTAATTTTTATGGATACTTCTGTTTTTATTGATCAACTGTTGTTGGGCTGACCACCTGTTTAAATAAATAGAGTCAAAACATGCAGCAGTTTTCACCAGTTTGCTGGCCTCCAGATGTTTTGCAGTCCACTGACTCTCATCAGCCCCAGCTTTGGCCAATGGTCAGAAATGCTGGGTGCTGCATTAAAAAACATCTGGAAGGTACGAGCTTGAATATTGTTACACAGAGTCTACTGTATGCAAGCTGCATCAATATGCACAGTCTAGTTTTAAGTACAACATCTGGATTTGGGGAAAACAAGTGTATTTACTGGCAGAATTAGGAGATCACGCCATCCATATCTAAATTCTTCCTCTGCTGAGAACAGCATGGCTCCTCAATCTCCTTTCCCACCCAGCCTCTCAAACCAGGTGAAACAGGATGAGTCTCCTACATACTTGTCATGCCTCATGCGGACAGCCAGTGCTGGCTTAGTGAAGGTGAACTCCAGCACCAGCTTGTCTTTTCCCTCCTTCCCTTCACGGGCATCGTCCCAGATCAAGACTATACAAGAAACATTAGGAGAAAGAGAGAAAGGATGAACAAGTAAGCATTTCCCTGCCAGGAGATTCTACTAAAGTCTTCCTTGCTTCCCTATATATCAGTGATACTGCTGAGCAAGAAAACCCTGGGATGACAAAGCAAGACCCCTTTTGCTTTGTCCCATTAGACTCCCAGCCTGCCTCTTTTTCTGTAAGAGGGAAACATACCTGAGATCTCAGAGAATTTGGGGTTGCCCCCTCCACCCACGATAGCCAAGAGATTGGATCGATGCAGCATTTCCACCAAGCCCACACTGCCCACCTGTTCATGATCTGGCAAAAGAAGAAAAAAAAGAAGGTACTTGAAAGGCACACACTTGGGAGGAGAAGAAATGAATGTTCCCCAATTCCATTTTCAGACCCCCTCAATTTCTCACCAAGGTGCCCTTTCTCCATAAGTGGTTCCACATTATAGATCCGAACACCAGTTTCCATAGCACAGCAAAAGCAGCCTGTTGTGGGAGAGAGGGAATGGATCCAGTCTGCATCAAAACATGTATCTGAATATACTCCAGAGCTTAGACTGAACCACGATGAAGCCCGACAACCTGCTATCAATGCTAAGGCCCAGTTTTAGAACAAACTAAATGATAAAGCAGGTCTCTGAGCAGCTGTAGGGTGTTTTTCCACTATCACTAAGCAGTCACAACACTCAGCATGGACTGCTCTCAGATGCTGGGCATGCAGCATATCTTAGGAGTGAAGAAACCTTGAGCTGGTTTTTGTTCATCTGTTGGAAAACCAAAGTTGGAGAATACCCTAATGAAAACATATTGGAGGACCTAAGCTAGAGATTCAAAAGAAGCTGATGACCTACTCTGATCCTGGTTGAAACGCAGGCTGTTGACTCCACGTTGCTGTGCCATGATGAGCCCTGCAGGTCACCCCTCAACTGGGGCAGGCACAGATGGGTGGTTTGTTTCTGTTCTCTGGGAAGAGAAAGCAGTCAGAAGCAGAAATCAGTGCAAATGAGCAATGCCAAAGGAAAGCCAACCAACCCCAACACTCTCCTGATCAGTTTCCTCTACCCCTCAGGGGCTGGCAACTTTTGGCCTTCCAGGGCTGATACTTCTCCTCAAGCCTTGCCAGCATTGCTAATGGAGAGGAATGAGGAGAGCTGTAGGCCAAAACATTTGCAGAGCCATAAGCTGTCCATCCCATCCTGGGTCATTCCTGTTCGATTTCAGTTACTGCCACTCCTCCGTCTCCAAAGACAAAAACTTCCCTTCCTGCCTAGATTCAATCACAGGCCTCTCTATTTTCCCTGCCTGTTGACCGCAGATCCTAGCCCCAGAGCCTCCTCCCACTTCCTCCAGTCAGCCAGCCAACTCTGAAATGGCCCACCTCCCGGCTGGACCTCTCTCACCTTTCCCCTGGGCTTCTTGTACCGCATCCTGTACAACTGGGTTCCTCCAAGCCTTTCTCTCCAAGTAGGCTTTCTCTCCAAGCCTACTCAACCTTATTGGCAAACTCCCCGTTCCCCGAAGCCCTGCAAGTGTCTTCCTCGCACTCCGACTGCCCCCCGCCCCTATAAAATCCACAGATGCGCACGCTCACCAAGCCGGTCCACTGTAATTCGAGTTATACGGATCTGTCACATCGATTTCTTCCCTATCCCCAATCGCAGCAGCCCCTTTTTGCCCTCACCCCCTTGTCTTGTCTTGCCTTCGCCCACCGACCTCCTCTCTCTTCCGTACCGGAGTTACATCTAGCCTGGTTCTCGGCACGTAAACACCAGTCACTCGCTCGGAGTCGTTCCGCGGGACCACAGAGAGAAGATATAGAGTGTTTCCTTATCATGTGACCGGAGGAGCTCTGAATTCTCAGTGGCCATATTAGAAACTGGAAGCGGGGGAGTGAAAGGAGGAACAGCTGCAGCAACCTTAGTTCTAGACAAAGCGGCCATTTTTGAAACAGGCACCTGCCGGCATTCGAAGGGAGTGAAGGAGCAGTGGCAGTCAGTTAAGCGGCCTTGGCCATGCTGGCTGGGAATGCTGGAAGTTGCAGTCCAACCGACCTACAGGGAACCAAGTTGAGGAAGCCTGTTCTAAATACAGTGAAGCCATTAAAAGGCAGCCCTTACCCACTTCATGGTCACATACACGATACAAAAGAAAGCACTGGAGCAGTTGCACCTTCACTAGATGATGGAAGCTTGGCTTTGCTCTCCTCTTAGCCTTGATGGAGACAAAGGGGAGACCAGAGGAAAGTGTCGGGGAATGGTCTTTGAGTTCCTGATCAGGGCAAGGGCTAATGTGCCTCCAGCCCATCCTGCACCCCAAAGGTGATTGACAGCTGGAGCTCTAAGGGTGAAGCAAATGGAATCTTGGGCTCAGCATTCTTTCCCTGACAGATATACTTTAGGATGCCCCTAACTAAAGATAAGTCCTGATCAACTTTGCAGAGCTTGAGTAATTATCAGGATTGTATTACAAGCCCAGGTTCGGACTTGGGGATCAAACATGGACCCTGAAGTTTTCCATAAGGCCACACAGCCTTGCACCAATTGTTTGGTGGTCACCTGGCTTTTGTACAGCTTTGCCCCATTCTAAAAAGTTGACATGTTTCTTCTGCAGAATCAGCTTTAATCTAAAATATGCTAGTAATTTGGCCCTACCCATTTTCCTTTGGGTCTTTCCACAAACCCTCCGGAGCTTTTCCAACATTGAATTCTACCCTTGGGCTGAAAAAGATTCAACACTCCTGTTGCAAGTAGGACAGTAACTTAAATATTCAAAAGTGAATTCAAGTTTTTGTTTCTCACAGATTTGGGAAAGTGTAAAGTAAATACTAGTATGGGCCAACCCCCCCCCCCCCCACAACTTCAAGTACAAGCTGATGGGATTTGAGCTAGCCGTGACAAATCAAGAAATGACTCATGGTTGTGGTGAAAATGTTGGCCCAGCACTCAATTGCTCTGAGGAAGGTAAACTCCATGTTAGGTTTAATTAGGAAAGGCACTGAAAATAAAACCATGGATATCATACTACTCTTACAGAAATCTATAGTGTGACCACTATAGTGTGTACAGTTTGCGGCACCTAAAAAAATAATATTGTGTTGTTGGAAGAAGTGCAGAGGAGGGTAACTGAAATGATCAAAGGATTGAACCAACTTCCCTGTAAGAAAGGTTACAGCAGCAGAGATTGATTAGCTTAGAAAAAAGGTGAGTAAGGGGAGACAAGATAGAGAGGTTCAGAATTATGCATTGTATGGCAAAGTAGGAATGGAGACATTTTTCCTCCCTCTCCCATAATACTGGTACCTTGGGATATTCTGTGCAGCTGGTTGGTAGAAGATTCAGGATGATAAATCACACAACACAGCAGGAATGGGACTCACTGCCGTGAGATGTAGTGATACCCCTAGTTCAGACAGCTTTAGAACGGGGGTGGAAAATTCATGAAGAAGGTTATCAGCTACTAGTCCTAATGGCTCTATGCTTCTTCCAGAACAGAGTTCATTGTATACCAGTTGCTGGGAGGCACTAGTGGGAGATGCTGTTGCACTCGTCCTGCTTGTGAAGGTTTCCTGTAGGCAGCTGTCTGGCCACTGTGTGAGCCAGATGAACCCTTGGTCTGAACCAGCAGCAGGGCTCTTCTTATGTTCTCAGTCTAGGCTCTGCACCTAAGTCTGGCTAGATACAAACCTTGAAGGAGAAAAGGGTAGACGAGAGGCGTTTCTAGTCTATGCCAGGCTATAGAATGTCTAAGGATTCGTGAGCAAGTTAATAATAGCTTCTTTCATTCTTGGTATCATCACCCTAGCCAACTTTTACTTGTACCAGAGTTCCTGCACTAAGAGGTTTTGGTATGTAATACCACTGGAAATCAGGAAATCGATGGGGGAGAAGCACACATTATTCACTCACTAGAGAATGATCCACAATCAACACCCAGCTAAACAAATACCAGGGAAGCCCTTTGGCTAAGTAGACTGGGCTAACAGGAACATTTGCCTTTGGAAACCAAGGGTCATCCTGGTAGAACAAGCAACTTCTTCATACAGATGGTCACACCTCAGATCGCAATTATATTAACAAACAAAGAGGAAAAATAAGGGGTTTATTTACACTGTATGTATGGCATAACTTAACTGAGACTGTCATTCCACCCATGAAACCTGAGGAAGCCAATTTATGTGATACTTGAGTCCTGCTGAATTTGCTTCCACAGCAGTTGACAAGACAGGAATCTTCCATATGCCACTTTTACATAGCAATCTGCAACATGAACTTTCTTCTGTCTCACAGACATTCAGTTAAGAAGACATGTACAGGGCTGGTTTTGATGCTGGATTAGAATCCAAAATGGTTACTCTAAAACAGGGGTAGGAAAAGAGGCCCTTTTGGAAGCCCAGCCCAGCCTTCCTGGCTCAACAACCACTTGATTGCTGGTTTCCCATTTTTGCACAATTCCCCTTATTCTAAAAGGGGGAATTGTCTCCACTACAGCATAATGATATCTGTGGTCCCACCTCTTTTGCTTTTGGCTGTGCCCACCACTGCAATGTTCCCCACACAGCTTCTTCAAAATGGGATTTTCCCCTTGGTCTAAAAGTTGTTCCCCACCCCTGCTCTAGAATGATTTAAAACAAGTAAGTTTCTCTTTTGTGTATACCCTCCTAAGAGCCCAGTCTGCTATCCTGGTGAAAAAGTATCAGGTTTGTGTAAGATCCTGTGTGCTCCTCTTCCTCCTGTCTATTAACAGCTTCAAGGTTTTGTCCTGCTGATATGAACCTAGGCCCATCAATAACTAATTCATGCCATTGTGAAAGCTCCAGATGTTTTTTCCTAGATTGGAAATGCTTGAAGCATTTTTGGTTTATTTTAAAAGCAAGGTCTCTTACACACAAAGTAACATCCTTTCCCCACATTCTACCATTTGCAATAGATGACACAAATTGCAGTAGCTCTTCGCTTGAACACAGCCTAGAGCTTCAAAGCACAGATCCAGAAGTATTACTTAGTATGAAAGCCCAGAGAATAGTGGTCTAAGCCACACAGATGTTTCCTGCTTTGCTCTAGGGCCAGCCTAATTTCTTGCTGATTCTAGAACCAGAGTTGACCAGCAACACCTTGGCTACACTCTAGATTTCATTCATTGTGTATGTTCTCCCCTTTGGCAGTCTTGGATACTCACATTCTAGAGTGCCGCTGCTGGTTTGGAAACCAGAAATCTGCACCTGTTACTGGTAAAATCTAAAGTAACCACACATCTTGTGTCCATTTAAAAAGAGACACTCTAGACCACCGTGGTGGTGACCAAGAATCCACCCTGAATATGGAGGCAGCCTTGTTCACTGTTCACAGTTCTCTGCTGTGGTCAGGACTTCTGACCATGCTTTCTCCAAGGATACAGAATTGCAGGCTGGCCCTTTCAAACCTGCCCCAAGGTTCAGGAGCTCCTCTGTCCTTTAGATGGGATGCATTCCAAAGGGGCTGTCAGTCATCCTCTGATCCACCGACATAGTGACAGACTGCATCGTAGTCCAGCGTCATGAGCCTCTCCTCGTCCTGCTGCAGTTGCACCAGTGCACGACTATGTTCCTTCTCTCGATGCAGAATACGACCCACCTAGTCAGAAAGAAAGAAGAATATGACCCACAACCATTTTTTGAAGAAAAGAAACAAGTACATAATTAGGGAACTTTGTGGGCACTCCAGATGTTAGATTCTAACACCCATTGGACACTGCTACATAGCCAATGATTGGGGATGAAGAGAGTTTGAGTCTCAACAACATCTGGAGGACCAGAAAGATTTAGGTCAGGGCTCCTCAAACTTTCTGAATAGGGGGCCAGTTGAAAGGTGCCAGGGATGGGCACGGGAGGCTAAGGCAGTGTGGGCAGGGGGTGAGGGCCGGGGGGGGGGTGCGTGCGTAGAAAGGCAGGGGTATGCATGCGCAGAGATCATTTTCTCCCAACAAGTCCAAAACGATCTCCTTGTGAGCCAGCCAGTGCCTCGGGGCGGGCTTGCTCACAAGGAGATGGCTTTGGACTCGCTCAGAGAAAAGGATCTCTCGGCAAGGCACTGGCTTGCTTGCAAGGAGATCCTTTTCTCCGAGTCCAAAACGATCTCCTTGCAAGCAAGTCGGCACCTCATCACGTGCATGCACACGTGGCGAGCTATGGCGGGTCGGATCCAGCCTGCGGGGTATAGTTTGAGGACCCATGATTTAGGGCATAATCCTATATCATTTTGGACAGAAAGAAGGCCTAAGACCCAGCAAGTCCCAGCCAGCCATGTTGAACTTCTTTGCAGTGTCCACTCCCCTGTGGGAATGTGTATGGCAAAGGGGACAGAAAAAGTCACCCTCTCCTGCTCTCCACTCCGTACAGTCAAAATAAACCAACCACTCTGTATATTTTTAAATAGCTGTTGTACTCCTATTTCTCCTCCAAAATCTATTCTCCTTCCCTCTTCTTAATGGAGAAATCCCAGATTGGTTTTTTTTAATCTATTTTCAACATTGCCATCAACATTGTCAAGGAAAGAGGTGGATATAGCAATCTAAGGTGCAAGAGTGGCTGCAACTATGGAAGAGCGAGGCAATTGCTCCAGACATGCACATATTTCTGTGTTTCAGAGCTAAGTCCTGGCAGTGTAGATCATCTGAGCCAAGTCTTTGCTTGAAGACTACACTCAGCATGTGGAGACACCAGCAGGCCACAGGCTGCTTCAGCCAAGCTGACAGAGGGCTCCTCTGATGCCCTGGAGAGCTTCTTTCCCAGTCCAGCTCTTCCCTGCTCTCATCTGCATGATCTGAATAGGTGTGTTTGGAGCACAAAATTCAGTGCTTGCATTAATGGGCAGCCAGCCCCTGTCATCCATGACTCACCTGGCCAGCATGCTTCCCCAGCACCACCATGACCCAGGTTGTATCATTGCGAGGAATCACCGTCTCCAGCATGGACTCATGGATTCCTGAAGAGGCGGCACAAGTAACGGCTATGGTTAAGTAGGGCCCTATCCAAGGTTTTCTCTTGTTCCTCCATCTGGCTGCAAGTCCCACTGAACAAGCCCTTTCTCCACCCACTCCCCTGATCACAACCAAAGCTGTGCACTTGGTTGCTGTATGGGAATTTTCTGGCCCTCCTGTTGGGAAGGTCTCTAGGCAGCAGTTTGCACCTTCCTGCATTTTCTTCCCTCCCCTTGGATCTGCAACTAGCCCTCCTAGTTGCAGATCCAAGGTGGAGGCCTCTGGCTGTCCAGATGTTGTCGGACTCCAAACCCCATCAACCGTGCACAGCAAGGTCAGGGTGGCTGGGAGTCCAGCATCTGGACAGTCACAGGTGGGTGGCCCTGTGGGAGATAAAAGAGTTGGAAACCTTTGGGAAGCATCCAGCCCAGGCTACAACACTGAACCAAGCTTCCAGTAGTAGTGGCATGGGAAGCACAGAGGCCTAAAACATACTGTTATACATGTGGGCTTTTCCTCCCCACACAGGTCCTTAGAAAGAAAAGGGGAAAAAAACATCTTCCAGTTTACTGCTTACCAAAGAACAAGGGCCATATGCCCTAATGCGTTCAACTGGAGCATGTGTTGATTATGGAGGGAGAATTTAAATCGATGACAGCCAATTTTGAATAGTGGATGCTGCAAAGTAAAGCACCCACATTTCTTTCTACAATTGGGGTGTAAAATATGGACAGTCTTTCAGTCCAGAGCCCCCTGAATTTGGGGAGGGACAGAAATTTGTCTCAATCAGCTGCATTGTTTACTGCTACCCTAACTAGCACAAAGACAGACTCAAGGCCAAGACTAAGAAGGCTAGGCAGCCTCAAGACCAAAGTAACTCCAAAGTTAGGAAAACACGCACCATCTAGAATCTGACCCTCTTCCGTTCGGCAGACACACGTATCTGGCTTGAGGACGTCTTCAATTACCATCTGGGGATACAAAGTGGCACAGGGTTTCATGTGATGCAGCCAAGTAAGATGAGTGCTCTCATCTTGTGCACATGGGAAACTGTGATAGGGAAGCCGTTACCTCACTGCACCGGCCACCTGCCGATCAGCAAAACATCCTCAGGCAGAAGTGGCACACGGAGAGCTGGACACGTTTCAATACAGAGGGAGCCACACGTTTGAAAGCACCGCGCTCTTCCCGTTCTTGCCAACCCCTGTGCCCCAAGTGAACACTTCACCCTCAGAAAGAAAACCCCCTCCTTAAAAGGCCCATATTGCATGAGGTGGAGGCTTTCAAAACAGCTGCAAAAAGGGCAGTGGCATGGCCTCAAGAAGGGCCTCTTCCAGTGTGAGGCAAGGGATCGACGAAACCAGTGCCAAGGCCCCATTGTACGGAGTGTCAGCTCAGCAGCTGCTTAACTGGGCTGCTCTGAGAGGCTCCCTGGGGCACACTGTGGTGCGAGACTGCTCTAGCAGTCGCTTCTCGCAGCTCCTGTCTTGTCCTGTTGAACAGCGATTTGATCTGGGGGGCCTGGCCTCAGAGGAAGGCAGAGCCCACACCTACCCCATGGTCTGTGGCAGCAGAATGATACAAGATAATAACCTGTAGACAACAATGGGTGTTTGCATACCACTTTCAGGTTTACCTATTGTTCCTGCTTGCTTACCCTGCCCATATGAACACTCTAGCAAAAGGGCAGGCAGCACACATGCCAAATCATTCCCCCACTGCCTGGGACATCTAGACAAAGCTTGCCTTTTGCTTTTGCCTCTCGGTAATATTAAAGCATTAGAATATATTTTATTAAGTTAGGTTAATATTAATGTGATTGGTTAATTAATTAATATTAATACACATTACCCTGGATTCATTCACAGCTATTAACTCTTAAATCAACTAATGTTGAAAACAGAACTCCCACAAGTACCTTTGTATTGTAGTATTTGCCCCCTTTGTAGAACTTATCTACAAAGCGGACTCGTAGGTCTTGTCGCAACCAGTGAGGGGCTCTGGAAGATGAATTGCTGCCACTGTCTTCACTTTTACTCTGTTTCCCAGCATGTTCATTTCTGTAGGCAGGAGACACTGCTTTAGAAGAACTTTCCTCTAAACCAGGGATGGGCAAGAGATAGATCTCCAGATGTTTTGGACTGCAGCTCCCCAAAGCACCTGCCAGTATGGCCAGTGGTCAGGAATGCTGGGAAGTTGATGTCCAAACCATCTGGGGACTTAACTCCTGTCCACCCCTGCTCTGAACCATACTAAATTATCCTGGAATTTAGAACTGCTGCTGGGCTAAGGGATATGGGGAAATGGAAATAGCAAACAAGCCAGGAGAGCATTTTCATAACGCATTCCATCTCAGTGTCTGCTAGCTCAAGTAATTCACCAGGTGCTGGTGTACAGTGGCTAGCAGATTAAGCTACTCCTTAACTACCTCAGTCTTCTTCCCCAACCTGGTGTACACTGGAAGTGTTAACCTACAAGTCCCATTATCCCCTAGCCAGTTCCCATCAAAGAGATTGCTGGTACAGTTACTCCCTCAGAACTAGCAGTCTGGCCTCCCCGTGCCGCCACCAACGCCTTACCTGTCAGCGCCTGGGTGCTTCCTCTTTTTATCCCTGCCCTTTTGGTCTTGGTCCTTTCTGTCTTCCAGGGCTCTGTTAACTGCATCACGCTTTGCCCCATTTCTCTGCTCCACCTCCTCTTTGCGGGCCTTGCTGAGGTGGCCTATGTTAAGAGGATGCTTGGGCTGAGGGTGGGGGCAGAGGCTTTTGGCACATTTCCCAACCAAGCTCCCAAAGGGAAGACAGCTGGGTGAAAGGTGATCAGGAATCTGTACGACCTCCCACCAGTTCCCAAAAGCCAAAATGAAGGCAGCAAGGCCTCAGGGGCTCAAGTGATCACGTTTGGGAAGAGAGCTATGACTTACTGAGATCTTTGGCCAGCTTATCATATTCCTTCTGTGTCACGGGCCGAACTCCGTGCTGACTCACAGTCACGGTTTTGCCGCCAATAGCTAATTTTACCATGACACGAGCATTATCTCCATCTACACCTTCAATCTAGGGAAGACAAGGAGGAAGCACTCAGCAAAAGATGATGAGGCAGGTGCATGTCAAGAAGCAGTATGGTAGAAAAGCTACCTTCTCCAAATGTATCCCCTCCAGGTGTTTTGGCCTTCAAATCCCATTCATCCCATTCCCAAAGGGTAGAAATCCTGGGAGTTCTAGTCCAGAACGACCACAGGGCATCAGGTTAGGGAAGGATGGTACGATATCTCCTGCTGTTAGACTGCAACAATTTAGCAGCAGTGACCATGCCAAATAAAGCTATGTCTCTACCGAAATTCATCTCAAATTGATTTAATTATGATGGACTCCTCACTTCAACCCCCATACAAGCACTAGGCATTGCTGATTTCAAAAACAGATGCTGCACCCAAAGGATTTGCAGCATGTGAACTACAATACTGATCTATTTTGGAAGAATCAAAGATACCAAGAGTAGAGATTGTAATCTCTCCCTCAAAGGAGGGAAAAGACAGGCAAATACTGAAAACGGGGGTGGGGGGTGTTAAGGACTCCCGCCTGCATCACAGATCAGACTTTAAAAAAAAATAGGTCCCTGTCAACCTACAGAACCAGAATGAGGAAACGGACCCAGTGAGCTCTGCAGGGATTCTCTCTCCAGCAATGGGTTGAGTTTGCCCAACTGGTACAGAGATTGAGGCAGCTAAGCAGTGCCAAGTTTTATTTCCATGCAGATGACTAACAAGATCAATGGAAGGATCCCACCACATGCCAAGAGTCATCAAAGCAAGGAAGCCCAGTGAAGAAACAGAACCTCAGCAAACCAGCTCTACAGCCCTCAGCCCATCTGTCTCTAATGTGGCAGCATCCAACCAGGCATAAGGCACCGAAAAAGGAAAATTCTCTTCTTTTGTGTTTACACAGGAGGCAAGAAAACACTGAATTGGCAGGAGAAGTGTAGGGGCTGGTTGGGCCATCCCTCAGAATTGCTTACCTCCCACTTCACCTCCAGAATCCTAACTGGAGGGGGTGCTTACACATTGAGCTGAGCCCAAAGTGGGGAAAATCGTTCTAGAGAAGCAAAAGCTCACCTTTCCATACAGCTCCTTGTGAGGGCCAGTCTCAATGAAGACTGCACCACCTGGAATCAATCCCAGAAGCTCATCCTTGCTCTTCGAGGGCTCCTCACCTGGCTTCAGGGGCTGCTGTGAGTCTGAGGGCTGCAAATTCTGGGCTGCTGAGCAGTCTGCTCCAAGACCCAGGCCCTTGGGCCGGAGGCGATTCTCCAGGGGCTTCACATCCCTAGAAGACCACGGTTGGGTAAAAAAGGCGAAACCTTTCTAGCTCTGCCCAAACTGGGGCAGCATTTCCACTCAGAACACAAAAAGAGGAATAAAAGCCCTGGACAGGCATGGAAACTTCAGGTTCAGATCCTGGGACAGTCACAACTCATTGAGGAAAATATCAGAGAAATTCAGGCTTTGGATGAATACTTAAATGTACCTTATTTATATAAGTTGCTCTGGGGTCTTAAAAAAATATTTCAAATCAGCCTTCCTCGACCTGGTGCTTTTCAGAAGTTTTGGAGTTCCTTTAGACCCAGCCCATGGGCAGGAATACTGAAAGTTGCAGTCCAAACCATCTGGAGAAAACCAGGTTGAAGAAGGCTGGTTAAACCAAGGCTGCATTTAACTGCATCTAATAAAAGATGTGCAAGATATTTTCTTTGCTGGGAGGGAGGAAAAAATCCACATGCACACAGAGGTTCTCAATGCTTTTACTGCAGCTGATCATCCAGTAACTTAAGTAACCCACTTTTTCCATATAGAATTTAGAATTTTCCATTTCATTCCCCCAAATAACCTGCTACAGGAAGCTTTTTCAGCACTGCTCTTGCTGCTCCCAGGTTCCCTTTCTTCCTGCCTCTGCATATCTGTGTAAAACTGCCACCAAATTTCGCTAAGTACCATGTTACTCATACCAGCAGAATCCTTCCTAGATAAACATGCTTTATGATGCTTGTGGAGATTTGTGAAGGCTGATAGGTCTCATTCTAGAACATATCCCATAACCTCATATCCCATCCCATATTAGCAAGAATGCCTCACTGGATCGCAACTTCATGGAAAGGTGTGGCTACTGGTAGGTATGTGCAGGTTTTATTAAACCCATGCCATCTGTGTTTCATGGCAGGAAACAAGGCAGCTTTCATACTGCCATCCTCTCATTTATAGAACTGGATTGCTTTTATCAGAATGTCATTCCACTGCTGCAAATGCAGATTAATGTAAATGTGGATTAGTTAATGTGAATTATGCAAAAGTTGAAAACTGGCCAGTGAATCCATGTGATCTCAAGAAAGCTGGTCAGAGCCATAGATATCTGAACTCATTGTTGCAGATTTCTCCCACATCCCTGCCGGAGGGTAGGCCAAAAGGACTTGGAGGGAAGATGCGCTCTTCTGCAGTTTACACTTTCTGCCCTATTCTTCAATAAAGTCTGTTCCATCACTATGGTCACAATGCCTCCACTACCCAGCACTGGCAACCTGGCAAGTTGGAACTGGCCCTTCCCAGAGGTTTGGATCTGGTAACACTAAAACCACAATTCCATATAACCAACATGTAGAATATTAATTAAAACACTGTAACAAACTCAAAATCACTTCTCATCAGCTTAACTCTGGCCATGAAGCAAGGGCTTTGAATCTCTGTTTAAGCTCTCACACCTCAGTTGCCATGGGAAAGTGGGGAGGGCTCCACAGCAGTAAAGCAACCTGTCCCCTCCCCATATGCATTTCTCCACGCCCTGATAGGAGATGACTTGCCATTCAAGAACCACTGTCCTGAATATGAGCCACTAGGCTGAGATGTAATCCCAAATTCTGTCAGCTGCAGAATCACCAAGCTGCCAGGGCCAGCTTCAAGTCCCAAACTATAAAATGGGACCTTATGGCCAGAATGAATAAGAATATAGAAATGTATGACAGAGTAAAAAACCAGAAGGGCAGAAATAAATATCTGAAGCTCAGCCCATCTGTAACCCCATCCTTTCCCACTTCCTTTTGATTATGCACTACCGCCAACATTTGGGAAGCAGGCCTATGCCTCCTAGGCAGCCACTGGGAGCCATTAGATATTTTGAATTCCAAGCTTTGAGTTCAGGGATGGTGCCCTGATCTCAGAGCTGGGAATCAGAGCTCTGACCCAACTGTCTGTCTCCCTGCAAGCACAGAAAGACCTGTGAAGCTGCTCTTTGGGGTTGCAACAGCAGCCTCAAAAAAGAAAGTAGAAATGGGGAGGAAGCTGGAGAGGCTGGGACATGAGCTTTCCAGATGCCTCGCCAGCCAGCCAGCCTGTCTGCCTCCCCTCTGACAGGACAGGGATGCAATGATGACTTCCATTGCTTCTCTTGGTCTGCACAAGATGACCATAAGTCTCCCAGTTCAGGAGCTTTTAAATATTGCTATAGGACTGTGCCCTTACATTGTAAGCTATCTGGGGCAGCAGCCTGTCTTTCCTGCCCAGAATACCCTGAAGAATGGTGATATACAAATATAGTAGTAGCAACAATTTGTCTAATTTGACTGCCTCTACCACCTCTGCACACTTACTGCTTGAAGGTCCGCCCGATGCCCTCACCCAGCTTCCAGCCCATGCCCTTCAGCATGGCAAGACCATAGGCTTCCACTGGTACCTCCTCATAATCAGCCTCGGTTGACTATCAAGGAGAAAGAAGACAGGGGAGAAGATCAGGCATTAAATCTTCCAGGCCAGGAGATCAGACAATTATTCAGACTGATGCACCTTTACTCTTACCGAGTCTGGACGAAGGCTCACATCCACTCTCTCCCCCGTCTCGTAGTTGTTGGGCACACGGTTCTGCATAAGAAGAGGGATGGCAAATTCTGGGTCTACCTTAGTGCCACTCTCCCTTTGCTCCAGGGACTTCTTGGATTCTGGATAAGAAGCGACAAAGCTGATAAAGCAAAAGCAACATGTTGCAGAGTTTGCTCAGAGCCAAGTATCCCTTTCTATGGCTGGGGCAGGGCAGAGGGTGGGGGGCAGGATAAGAATGGCAAGTGGTCTATAGCAGAGCTGCTTGCACGATCCAGGGCAATCTGCATGCTTGCTGGCTGCCTTTAAAGACAATGAACTAGCCCACTCCTGTTAATGCTTCTGTGGCAGAATAGTCAAGGGTGTCCCTGAGTGGCTGTTCTCTCCTTGCTTCTGCAGCTGAACCATCAAGCCTCTGCCCTTTTGAGCTTCACCTTCACCCTAGGAAGTTATATTCAAGGCCACACAGGCCAGTCCCTCTGCGTGGTGTCTAGTGACAGTAGGCAGCCTCTTGCCTTGGTTTCAGGGCCTCAGAGAGCAGTGAGCAACGGCACCTGTGCGAAGCCTCCTGACGCAAAAAAAAAAAGTGCAGCACAGCAAGGGGCTGCCCTTAGCCCAGCCCTCCCCAACCCGTGACCCCCCCCACACACACACACAAATGAGTTCCATCGCACCTCCAAGCAAACAGGGATCCTGGAAGCTGCAGTCCCACAGATCTCAAGGGTTCCAAGGTAGCGGAAGGCTAGGCAAGCCCCAAAAATGCAGCAAGGGGCTGCTATCACATCTGGTTGTGCACACTCTCCATTTCCCTTCAATATCCCAAAAGGCAATGAAGGAAGAGAGTTGCAGAAGCAGCTGATCCCAACTCCCGAAGTAGTATAAAGCCAATTATATAGATGGCTTCACTTGTTCCTTTTTACAGAATGAAGGCATTCATACATATCAAGTTAAGGTCCAAATAACCACTAGGAGGTTAGCACTATATTACAAGTCCAGGCTGAGATGTGAAGCATAACAAGGCACAGGTACCACAATGGTAAGCCGGAGAATAGCTCCAACCAGAGTCAGCTCTCCCCCAGCCCAGCCACACACTCCAGCTGCATCCACAAGGGAAAAAGGAGAACATGAGAGGGATGTGTTATGGCAGGTATTAAGGTTAAACAGCTAACTGCAGCAACTGCAAGGCAAAAGGTCATTGGATCAGGTCCCTGGTGCTTGCATAAATGAAAACATATCCAAGAGGGCTGATGTAGAGTAAAGGGGCAAATCTACTGAACAAGAGGAATGCAGAAAAAGATAAGCAGCTGCCAATTGTATGCAGAAGGGACTGAAGTGTCTTGGGAGAATATGTCTAGAGGCCTTGTGATGGATGAGAGTAAGAGGCACTCATCATTTTTAAATGTTTATATTGTAACTTGTATTTTGTAGTTTTAAATTTATTTATTTCCATTCCTATGGCACCACATAACCCAAAGTTTCTCTGGGTGGCTTACAAATGCTAAAACAGCATGAAAACATACATAAAATACAACAAAACAATAATTTGATAAAATAGATAAAACAATAGCTAACATCACATAATAAAATATACCTGCACACACCAATAAGCACAACCAAACCAACTAAATGCAGTAAACTTCCCTAAAAATACTGGTTCTTGGGCAGTATAGAAATGTAATAAAGAAATATAATGACACAGGTCAGCAACCCAGCGGGCAACAACAGAGCCCCTGGAGTGCTGCCAATCCTTCATGTTGCAACAATAGCCAGAAGTGTTCTCCATCAAGCCTCGATTGCCTTCTGGCTTTCCAACATGGCTGGTATCTTCACACAACCTCAAAGGCAGGCAGCTAGACTCCTCCTTACCAGGTTAGCACATAAAAGAGAAATAGAACCTTAACTCCCTGGTTCTTAGGGATGGCAGAGGCAGTAATTCCAAAATAAAAAGGATGGTCAGAGAGTTCTCACCTTCAATGAGCTCTCTGACAGCTTGAGCTTCAACACCGTTGATCTCATCCTGCTCCTGGAGGGGTCTGGAGCCTTCTGGCTTCTTCCACTGATTCTTCTGGATCAGGGGAATAATAAGTTCTTTTGGTTGTGGAGCTGGCCGAACACTGCAGAAGTGAGAGCACATGCCAATAGATGGAGCTCGTCAACCCATATATATTAAGCAAGAGTGAAGTACAACAAGGCAACATATCAACAACTTTCACCTTTTGCAAAGTACTGCTTTTAGCATGTGCTGGGGAGGCAAAATAAATCAAAGAAACCACTCAAAGCAAAACACAGTAATAGACCCGATTCTACCAATTCATAGTACACAAACTCAGAAATTCTGTGCCACTGCATGTACATGCATAGGAATTCTGGCATGGAGGAAGAATTTCACTAGCCAAAAGATTCTTCTCAGTTTGCCTGCACATCCCTACACATCATGAGTAGCCCTGGGAAGGTAGTTCTGATTAATGATCCTGTGCAAGTGATGCACAAAAAGTAAGAAAGGACACAGGAAATGCCTCTACTACACTTGCTAAAATGACAGGCAATAATGCCAGCACACACACAATAACAGTTGTCCTTTATGATATGGCATTTATGTCCCTCAGAATACAGCACCCAGCACATCTGGGGCCTCTTCCTTGCACCTTCATCACCATCACCATCACATTACATGAATACCCTGCCTTTCTTCCTCTTGCAAGGAATTCAAGGCAGCTGACAAGGTTCTCTTCTGTGGCCCCTTCTGTCTCTTCCTTCTTCTGTCCTTCTGTCTGTTGCTGAAGTGTAGGTCATGAGTGCTTCAGAGCAATATTCTCTCGCTCTGTAATGCAGCAAGAGGCCTTGAGTAAACAGAGTTGTGAGTTGAAGCTGGCAGGATGTCCTGTGCCTCATCTATGACAAACTAGTCCTTGTTTAGGGGGGAATCTATGCTTGGTAAGTACCACTCCAAGTGGGAGATCAGGTAACTGAATGTTCTTTGATGAAATCAAGGGAGCAATCTTATATATAATTACACAGAAGGAAGTCCTACTACAACCAGCATCCTCCAGCCAACCATGCTGGCTCAGGCATGCTAGAAACTGTACCACCCCGCCCCCGGTCTAAACATGCACAGGATTGCACAGGACCAAAATAACAACTGGAACAGTCCACCACAAAGAAAGTTGCCATCCCAGTGAGAAGTCCAAGGTGTTCGCCCTGGCATTTTTTAAAAATGTGCAGGGAGTTTGTCTTTATAAACAAATCTATTATTGATTTACTTTCATTGCTGGTACAATTGTTTAACAACTGAGCATTCTAATAATGAGATTTAATACTTTGCATGTAAACCATTTATAAGTCTTTTATATCAAGCAGTATAAAAATATCATTTACACATATATAAAAGAACATTCACCCATATAGGCTTATAAGTCAGAGGAGTAACATTCAAGACAGAGGCTTTATTCAGCCTGATAAAGCCCCAGGTGTGTTGGACTACAATTTCCAGTATCTCCCAAACAGCGGGGAATGACGGTAAGTTACAGCCCAAGACATGTGAAGTCCAACGGGTTACTGTCTCAGTCCGCAGACTTGTATCTATTCTGCACCCTACCTTTGCAATTCCTGCCCCTCAACAGCGGAAAGGAAATCAAGTTCCTGCTTCGGTTCGCTTCCATCCTCCCCAGCTGCGATAAGAAACCGCCTCCGTCCGGTTGTTCGGGTGAAACCGAACGACACTGGAGCTGCCGCAGCTCTGGCTGGCTTCTCACCATCTTCCGCCATGTTGCCCTCCCTTCCTCATCCCACCCCCACTTCCGTCCCGTGTCATTGGTTAGCATCACGGGAGACGAAGTGCTTAAGACCCTCCTCCTGTCGTTGTGCGTCTCAAACCGGACAGAGCAAAATGACCACAACTCCCGTGGTGCAACGCGGAATGCTAAACTCGGCAGCCCAGCCAATAAGGCCGAAAATATTACAACCCTCATGGAACGTTGTGATGACTCCAACAATAGCGCAAGCGCAGTGATCTAGAAGACATCTGGAGTCTGAACTGCGTGGGAGGCGCATCTGCGGGGCTGTTCCGCCTACTTTGCGCATGCGTGGTGTGGCGCGTCGGTAGTCGCCTGGCGGAACGATATTTTGTCGCTGTTGCTCCATCTCCTTGCCCTTCTCCAAGGATAATAGTTTACCTCTTCCGAGTTGCTTCTGGTATTTGTGCATTTCTTTCCCGGGGAAAAGGGCTCTTTTGCTTTGCCACCCATGCACAGAGTGGCCATGGGTCGTCTTTTCTGAAGGACGGTTTTCCAGCAACTCCGGCAGGCATAGCCAGTGGTCCGAATGCTGGGAGTTGTAGCCCACAACGTCTGGAGGGCCTCAGATTGGGGAAGGCTGCTCTAGGGTGATTTCTCCTTTGCATTCCATTCGCGGGGGGTGAGCCGGTTCGGTATCAGCGATGCGCTAGCCCGGTGCTGCTCTCTTCCCCCGTGACTGGTCCCAATGTTTCCAGTCTGGTGGTTGTAACAGGCCGGTTGAAGCGCCTGCTGGCGCAGTGACAAAGCATGTAACGAGGAAATCCTTCCCTTCCATCCAGATAACGTGAGCATGGGACGCTCCTCCAAGGACAAGCGTGACATTTACTACCGTCTGGCCAAGGAAGAGGGGTGGAGAGCCCGGAGTGCATTCAAACTTCTGCAGCTGGATGAGGAGTATCACTTGTTTCAAGGTGTGTCTGAAAACATACTTCCATATTACATTGCATGTTGGTCATGTGCATCATTGTTGATGTCTTACAAAACCTTTATTTGAGTGCTGAGTCTTCAGGCTCATAGGTTTGAGGCACTGCCACAGAACCTGCAAAATAAATATGACTGCTTTTGTTTTGACATCTGCTGTGAAAGGGGAACTGCCTTGGGTGATCACACCTTTTCCAAAAGCTGCAATGAAGAATAAAATTAACAGATTGATCCTTTCTTTCTCAGGCCAAATTCCATATTACATGTTCACTGGGGAGAGGCAGGGTTTCTCCCTGAATTGGCAGAGTGTTGTGAAAAAAGGTTGCATTTAAACATGGGCAGAGTGCTGTTTGCTCATGAAGACAGTAATCTGGGATGCAGAGGCAGGCATCCTGGTGTGGGCTTCAGCAAAGCTAGAACATTCACTCTTGCTATCCTGTAAATGGGAAGAGACCCCAGGAGTCTTTTTTTTCTCACATTAACCATCTCTGATCTTCTCTCTGCTTTTCCAGGTGTCTCTAGGGCTGTGGATCTCTGTGCAGCTCCTGGGAGCTGGAGTCAAGTTCTGAGCCGAAAGCTCAAGTAAGCAAACAACCTGTAGCAGATGGAAGTTTCCCCCATCCCCCAAGGACAAAGGGAGATGCATCCTCATATTTTCCTCTCTTGCCTTCCCTCCACAGAGGAGATGATACTAAAATAGTGGCTGTTGATTTGCAAGCCATGGCTCCTTTGGCCGGAGTCATTCAAATCCAGGGGGATATCACCAAGGTAAGTGCTACCTTGTGCAGTCTAGGCTGAAGTCAAGCCCAAGTTCTGCCTCTACCTCACCCTGAAGCAGAATAAGATGCTTACCCAGTGAACAGTTTATCTGTATATACCCACTTTTTTGTTCCCAGGTCTCAACAGCCCAGGAGATCATTCGCCATTTTGAGGGGCAGCCAGCTGACCTGGTGGTGTGTGATGGAGCCCCTGATGGTAGGTGAGAACAACCATTCATGTTTCCTGTCCTGTTTGGGACTGGGAATTTCTGGTGGCTGCAGTCGGCTTAACAAGCAGTGAAAAGATCTGCTCTGATGGATATTTCCTTTATTCTTATAGTGACTGGACTCCATGACATAGATGAGTACATTCAGGCCCAGCTGTTGCTAGCTGTGAGTATCTCCTGATGTATGTTTGTTGTGTGTAATGACCAGTCTCAACCACAAGGGGTGCTGTGGGGGCTTTGCCCATATGGAATAACCTGGCAGCTCACCTCCCAGTTAGCTGCCCAGCATGAAGTTGTGCATCAGTCCTGGGAGCTTTTATAAGAGGCAGGTCCAGATCCAAATTATGCGGGGATCGTGAGCCAGCTGTCCCTGTCCCCACCCCAGTGCCCAGCTGACCCTCCAGGAAATGGGGCCGGTACCTGATCCACAGGCCTCCTTGGCTGAGCTGCCCCGCACCCTGAGTCCAAGGTTCTGTGCAGCTCAACCAAGCTCAGCTTTTGTTATACAGAAATAAGTGCCCAGCAAAACACTTGGCATCTAGATCAGAATCTCAGATTTCTTCTTTTTTGTGTTTAAATCCATGTTTTGACTCTTACGGCTGTAGAAACAGGCTTGCTGTTGTGCAACCAATTGCTAGTGAACTCTCACAATGTGATCTCTCTTTTTTATTAAGAATTGAGCTTTCTTGATGCAGGATATTGAATTTTGTGTTTGCAACATAACATATTACCTGTGTGCATGGCACCATCTTTGTTCTCTGTTCAGTACTAGGTGAAAACCTTTTTATTTTCCAGATATTTTAATAGATAAGAATTTGTTTTAATTGTGTTTTTACTGCTGCTGTGTCATATATTGATTGTCATATTATGATCGCTGTGGGCTATCAAGTTTTTGCTGTGACGGCTTTATTGCCTATTTGTTAGTTTGTTTATAGTTTATTTAAATATGATTATTTATTGTTAAAGTCTTTTAAATTCGTAAACCATCCAGATAGCCCAATGGGCTATGGGGTGGGATAGAATTATAATAAATAATATTAATAATAAGCACTGCCACAGCCAGCAGAGAAAATAGGGCTTTCATCCAGGTTTATTTTCTATCCAACTTGTCATGGAGAGCCAGTGTTTATGCTCCTCCTCATACTGCAGTGACACCTTCTGCAGCTCAGGGTCAAAAATAGTTAATCAACTACCTTTTGCATTCCTGGGCATTACTTCTTTTCTGTTTCTTCCAGGCTCTGAACATCACGACACATGTGCTGAAAAGGGGAGGGACTTTTGTAGCCAAGGTGAGCTCTGCAGGTGACCAGGAAAGAGTGCAGGAAATGGGTGCAGCCATTCCCCTTTAGGGTTAAATGCTGTTGACTGAGCACCACCCCAAAGCAGTTGCTCTACTGTGGGTTTCCAGCACTAGCAATCACATCAAACCAGAACTCACTCTCTGTGGAAGGTGGGCAGGAGCTGGATCTCCAGGATCCCTGGAGCCTCTGCCAGCATGGTCAGGAATGCTGGGAGTTTTGGCCTACTCCTTTTCTGTGGTGTCAGAGCAAGCAGGATAGAGCTTCAGTGAACATGTCCTTTCCATAAGCCCACAGAGACATCCAGCTGCACTCAGAGGGGTTTATCAGGGTCAGGGATGAGTCATGAGGCACTACAGGATGTAGGAGAGCAACAACAGTGTTGCTTGGATGTTGCTCTGGCAAAGCTGAGAGTTCACTTGAGCCCAGGAGCAGCTCAAAATCATCCCTCAGTGTTGACTTTACTTGCTAGGGCTGATGGGAGTTTACGGTCCAGCAGCATCTGGCATTCTCATCCCTGCCTTAAGGACAGTGGTGGTGTCCATTCTGAGTTCTGCCCCACAGTTGCTAGATGAAGAGATCTTAAAGGGGCAGCACCATGCTTTGTAACCTCCAGTGACATTGGAAAGCCTTTTGTGTCTCCTGCTGGGAGTTTGTGGCATTAGGTGATTAGGCATAGGGCTGAATGCTGCATCTCTTATGGCGATACTCTAGGCTGGTTCCTTCAGCATCTGGTGCTGTTGGGCAAAAAGCACCTTAGCAGCTCTCCCAAGTGGAGGGTGCCCTTGCTTCTCCACGTCTGTGGCCTGGCTGGTGTCAGAATGCAGCTAATCCAGCTCTGACTGTGGCCGTTTGCTTTCCTGTCTCAGATATTCCGGGGGAAGGATGTCACCCTCCTCTATTCCCAGTTGAAGATTTTCTTCCCTGACGTGACCTGTGCCAAACCCCGAAGTAGCCGCAACTCCAGCATCGGTAAGTAATTGGATGGCTTCTCATAAGCCTGATAGTTAGCCGCTTGCCATTTGGGATCTGTTTGCACAAAACTTGACAGCTTCTGCCAGCTCATGCAGCTTCATAAGAAACCCAGTGTTCATTGCAAAACAAACAAAAGACCTCCCAAAGTTTCTAGTAATCATGAGTGGAAAATAATCCTTGAAAGCATGCAAGTGTTTTTGAAAAAGGTTTTGGTACTCAAACACCTTTGGTGCTGTGCTTAAGATATATGTCCGTTCCTTAGTTACCACTCTTTTCTCATGGCTGTTACCTCTTCTATTAACCATCAGTTTTCCATCTCACTCCCCTGCCACCACATTGCTCTTGCAACCACTTCTCAAAACTAAATCAATTTAACAGTTTAAAAAAACACACACAAAAATTAACCAAACAAAAAGTACTACAGTGAGTTTAGAGTCTCATGTGCATTGCTGCAGGGATCAGCCTGTTCACTCAGTCCCATAGAATTCAGCAGGAAGCATTTAGAAAGGAGTTTGTGTTTATCTGCATGGCCGTGTGCCATGACTGGATTACATTAAGGGGCAACAAAAGCTTTAGAAGGTTAGCATTTGTACGCATAAAATGTTCTATTGCAAAATATAACTTTTCTCTAGGCAGATTTGGAGGGGAGGGGTTAGATGCAGCATGCTTCTAATGAGATTTGATATATTACCTGAATTGGGGTAGGGTGGAGTAGGAATCTGCAGGTGATGGAGGGTATGATCAGTGCAGGAAGGACAATCTTTCAATCCCAATTTCTACCCCACCAGAAGCCTTTGCAGTTTGTCGAAATTACAGCCCGCCAGAAAGCTATGTACCAAACATGTCCAATCCCCTGCTGGATCACTCTTACGGTAAGGAGCTCAAGCTTTGGAAGGGAAGGGTTGTTTCCAAGAATGTTTCTGGATAAGAAAGCCCAAGCGAATGGGTGATTTGAGGGTAGAAGGAAGGCCAGGAGAGAAAAAGGTGAGTGTAGGACAGCGGAAGGAAATGGGACTCTGGAAGTAATCAATGATGGAACCTCCAGACTGGCCTCAAAGGTTGTGCTTTCTCATTGGTGGAAGGGTTTTTAAGTGCTGTTGTATGGCCACTTATAAAGGCTGCTGTGGCAGTGGATTAGAAACAGAGAAACAGCGCGAGTCAGAAGGGGTCTCCCAGGCCATCTAGTCTGACCTCCGGCACCAGCCGGCTCCACTCACGACATGCCCACCATGTGGACGTCCAGCCTATCCTTGAACACCCGCACCAATGGGGCCTCAGTGACCTCTCGTGGAAGCCCATTCCACACCCTCGGGGTCCTGACTGTCAGGAAGTGCTTCCTGGCATCCAAATGGAACCTTGGCTCCCTGAGCTTTGCTCCGTTGGAGCGCGTCGTGCCCTCCTCTGCAGGGGAGAACAGGTCTCTACCCATCTCCATGTGACATCCCCTCACATACCTGTATGTCACCAACATATCCCCTCTGAGTCTCCTCTTCTCCAAGCTGAAGAGACCCAGTTTCCTCAGTATCACCTCATATGGCATCCCCTGCAAACCAGCCACCAACCTTGTGGCCCTACGCTGCACTGACTCCAACCTGGCTATATCCTTTCTGTAATGAGGGGTGCACCAGAGTCGTGTAGAATGGTAGTAATGCCTCTCTTGATCTAGAAGCCACACTTCTGGCTATGCAACCAAGGGAGGCGTTCGCCCTCTTGACCACCGCATCACACTGCTGACTCATGTTTAGCCTGCAGTCAACCAGTACCCCGAGGTCCCTTTCACAAGTGCTGCTCTCCAGCCACTTGTCACCTAACCTGTACTTATGACACCTATTCCTATGCCCCAAGTGCAAGACCTTGCACTTATCCACATTGAACACCATCCTGTTGTCTCCTGCCCACTTCCATAGTCTGTCCAGATCCTTTTGGATCTGGATTACCTTTTCCTCAGTTGTGGCCACTGCTCCAGTTTTAGTGTCGTCTGCAAATTTGATCAGCAGACTGTTCACCCCTTCTTCCATGTCATTAATGAAAAGATTAAACAGAGCCCTGGGGGACCCCGCTTGTTACTGGCCGCCATCCCGACAATTCCCCGCTAATGGTTACCTTCTGCTTTCGGTCAGTCAGCCATGCCCTAATCCACCGGACAGTGCTTTGGTGTATCCCAAAACTCCTCAGTTTCTCCACCAGGATAGCATGGGGCACTTTGTCAAAGGCCCTGCTGAAATCCAGGTATACCAGCAGATTGATATTCGCACATTATTGTTAAATTGACTTCATTATCCGAAACACTTTCATAGTACCTTACATATTAGCAAAACTTGTTGTGACATAAACTTTCATAGACATGTGTCCACTTTATGAAAAGTAAGGTATTGCCATGGTGCAAAGGACAGAAGTAGTTAACAGGAGGGGGCCATGAAATGCACAGAAGGACCACAGTTCTGCTGAAGCTTAAATGTATGGAAAATCGATGGTGTCCACTCACAACAGCAGTGAATGTGGTAATGCTGTCATCCTAGCTTTTCTGTGTTAATCTGAGGGGAGGGCAGAAGGTAGAGGTTCCGGACTTCAACTCCCAGAAGTGCCTGTCAGCGTGACCTATGGGTTGGAATGCTGGGAATTGAAGTTCAAAACATCTGGAGAGCTACTATCTGCCCACCCTTTGACTGTTAAGGAACACTTCAGGCAGGACAAGCAGCATGGATAATCATTGCATCATCTTAATGATACTTTGCTGTTAGTCGCGAAGTCGTGTCACATCGCTACCCCATGGACAACATTCCTCCAGGCCTTCCTGTCCTCCACCATCCCCCGGAGTCCACCCAAGCTCACACCAACTGCTTCAGGGACTCCATCTAGCCACCTCATTCTCTGCCGTCCCCTTCTTCTTTTGCCATCTATTGTTCCCAGCATTAGGCTCTTCTCCAGGGAGTTCTTCCTTCTCATTAGGTGGCCCCCAAAGTATTTGAGTTTCATCTTCAGTTATCTGGCCTTCTAAAGAGCAGTCAGGGTTGATCTCTAGGACTGACCGGTTTGATCACCTTGTGGTCCAAGGGACTCGCAGGAGTCTCCTCCAGCACCACAATTCAAAGGCCTCAATCCTTTGGCGCTCAGCCTTCCTTATGGTCCAGCTTTCATTGCCATACATTGCAACTGGGAAAACCATAGCCTTGACTATACGACTATATGCACTTTTGTTGGCAGGGTGATGTCTCTGGTTTTTAGTATGCTGTCTAGATTTGCCATAGCTTTCCTCCCCAGGAGCAAACGTCTTTTAATTTCTTGGCTGCGGTCACTGTCTGCAGTGATCTTGGAGTCCAGGAAAATAAAATCAGTCACTACCTCCATTTCTTCCCCATCTATTTTCCAGGAAGTGAGAGGACCGGATGCCGTGATCTTAGTTTTCTTAATGTTGAGTTTCAAGCAAACTTTTGCGCTCCTCCTTCACCCGCATCAAGAGGCTCTTTAGTTCCTCTTCACTTTCTGCCATGAGAGTGGTATCATCTGCATATCTGAGGTTGTTGATATTTCTCCCAGCAATCTTAATTCCAACTGGTGATTTATCTAGCCCCACCTTTCTCATGATGTGCTCTGCATATAAGTTAAATAGGCAGGGCGACAGTATACAGCCTTGCCGAACTCCTTTCTCAATTTTGAACCAGTCAGTGGTTCCGTGTCCAGTTCTCACTGTTGCTTCTTGACCCGCATATAAGTTTCTCAAGAGACAAATAAGATGGTCTGGTACTCCCATCTCTGTAAGAACTTGCCACAATTTGTTGTGATCCACACAATCAAAGGCTTTAAAATAGTCAATGAAGCAGAAGTAGATGTTTTTCTGGAACTCCCTAGCTTTCTCCATGATCCAGCATATGTTGGCAATTTGATCTCTAGTTCCTTTGCCTCTTCGAAATCCTGCCTGTACTTCTGGTAGTTCTGGGTCCACCTACTGCTGGATCCTAGCTTGTAGGATTTTGAGCATAACTTTGCTGCCGTGTGAAATGAGTGCAATGGTGCGGTAGTTTGAACACTCTTTGGCATTGCCCTTCTTTGGGATCAGAATGTAAACTGACCTTTTCCACTCCTGTGGCCACTGTTGAGTTTTCCAAATTTGCTGGCATATTGAGTGTAGCACTTTTACTGTGTCGTCTTTTAAGATTTTGAATAGCTCTGCTGGAATACTGCCACCTCCACTAGGTTTGTTGTTGCTCAGACTTCCTAAGGCCCATTTGACTTCACATTCCAGTATGTCTGGCTCGAGGTCAGTGACCACCCCATCGTGGTTATCAGGGACGTTAAGCTCTTTCTTGCATAGTTCCTCTGTGTAATCTTGCCATCTCTTCTTAATCTCTTCTGCCTCTGTTAGGTCCCTGCCATTTTGGTCCTTTATCATGCCCATCTTTGCATGAAACGTTCCTTTCATATCTCCAGTTTTCTTGAAGAGATCTCTGGTCCTCTTTATTCTATTGTTTTCTTCTATTTTTTTGCACTGTTCATTTAAGAAGGCATTCTTATCTCTTTTAGCTGTTCTCTGGAATTCTGCATTCAATTTTGTGTATCTTTCTCTTTCTCCCTTGCCTTTCACTTCCCTTCTTTCCTCAGCTATTTGTAAAGCTTCCTCAGACAGCCATTTTGCTTTCTTGCATTTCTTTTTCTTTGGCATGGTTTTAGTTGCTACCTCTTGTACTATGTTGCGAACCTCTGTCCATAGTTCTTCAGGCACTCTGTCTATCAGATCTAATCCCTTAAATCTATTTGTCACCTCTGCTGTATATTCATCAGGGATATGATTTAGGTCATACCTGAGTGACCTTGTGCTTTCCCTACTTTCTTCCATTTAAGCCTAAATTTTTCAACAAGAAGCTCATGATCTGAGCCACAGTCAGGTCCTGGTCTAGTTTTTATTGACTGTATAGAGGTTCTCCATCTTTGGCTGCAGAGCACATAGTCAATCTGATTTCTGTGTTGACCATCTGGTGAGGTCCATGTGTAGAGTTGTCTCTTGACTCTCGACTCTGCCTTTGCTTCTGGACCTGCCATGCCTTGCTGAATCTCCAGCCCTTGCTTTTTCCTGACTTGTTCTCTGCCCCTCCTGCATCACACCAGAAATCTCCCATCATCCCTGGTTCTGGTGCTCCAGCCACACACCCCAGCTGCCTGTGTCCCAGATCGGACAGCTTTACACATGTGCACACCTCTTCTCTGGTTCCACCCCCTTTTTCTTTTGGCAACTCTGCACATTGCTTCTTGTAGCTCTTTTCTCCCGTTCAGATCTCAGAAACTCTTTCACTCCAAATTGGGCCATGGTAAGATTTCACATGGCACCGCTTCAAGCGGCACTGAATATAGGAAGCCCCTTTTTCTAAAACAACATTCTAGTCAGCTCTGGGGGGACCTGGAGGGATCACTTGCATGAAAATGTGTTTGGGACTGAGGTGATTGAAAACTCTGTATGTGTTGAGGAGCAGATGTAAGGCTCTCCTTGCTTCCCAAATGAGAAGGAGGGAGCAGTCTGTGAATATTTAGTTGGGGACATAAGTGAAAGGGAGAACGGAAGTGCTTTGGCAAGGAGAGGTGGACAGGATGTATGCCAGGTGAAAGGGGTTTTCTCCTTGGAGCTGACGTTTGCCAAACCTCCCCCAGTACAGATGTGGATTTTAACCAGCTGGAGGGCCCTAATCGGGTCATTGTCCCCTTCCTGGCTTGTGGAGATCTGAGTGCTTATGATTCTGATCAGACTTATCCTCTGCAGGTAAGGCTTGGTGCTCTGCTGACCTGCTTGGTAGTCTGGAGGAAAGCAAGGAAGGAGAATTCCGTCCTGGCTCTGTCTGTGCTGGAAAGCCTTTGCTGCACTTGAGCAGCCAGGGCAGCGTTAGCAGCTTTATAGGTCCAAGAGGGAAGCCTTACCAGCCCTTCTGTCCTCTGATTCTGGCTGCATTGGTGTCTGAGGTGTCACTAGCCATCTCCCCTGGTGGGGCCACCAATGCAGCAAGCTACCCTGCAAGTCATCAGGTGTCTATTCCACTGTGCAAGTTCTAGGGACTCAAACCCCTGGAGAGTGCAGTAAAGCTGGGGGTGGGGGTGGGGGGTGAGACCTCAATCTTAGGGACCAGATCCAACCTTCTGGGACCTCCTGGGACAGACAGGCCTCCTTTCCCTGGCCTGACACCTTTCCCCCAATTGCAGATGGTTTGATGTTTCCCATCTCTGGGGCAGTTTTTTCCCATTCCAAATGTTGCAATGCCTCTTGGAAGGCTCCGTGTCTGTCAAGGAAGACTTTCAATGATAATTTGCTGGTGTTTTTTACCCAGTGAGTTTGAGCACCCCAGAGCAGAGACTGATGAAGGCTGTTTGTTGAGATAGAGAGGGAAGGTGGTCAAAAAAGTTCCCAACAGTTGAGAACATGCTGTATTGTTGAATTTAAGTCTCTCTTTTTCCCACTCGGACAGCTGGATCCTGAGAAGAAATATACCTACACGCCTCCCACCCAGCCTCCCATCCACCCTCCCTATGAAGAAGCCTGCTTCTTAAAGAAAAACAACCTGCTATCCAAGGAGTTAGCACCGCAACCGCAGCAGCAGGCTGCCCTCTGTGAGACTCTGCGGCAGCCCGAGGTGGGGACAGAGGGCTTTTCTTTGGAGAAGGAGGTCATTGGTGCCTTGGAGGAACTGTCCACATGACATAACCACAGATGGGACATGTGTGCATCCTGCCCCCTGCTGGTTTGAATGATTTTTCATTCTGTTTTGGTTAATTTATAGATTAATTAATTAAATAAAAAATTTTATTTAATCTTTTTCTTTACTTATTCAAAGCTTTCTTCAGTGTGGGAGCTGGCTAAGGTTCTTATTGTAGAGTCCCAGGTTCAAATCCCTGTTCAGGTTTGTTGGAGGGTATTTCTTAGCCCAAGTGACCTGATAAGCTGTCTGTGAGCTACAGACGGACACTATGTAGGTTTTTGAAAAGTGCTGTAGAAATTATCATTTATGATCACATACTGCTTCCCAACCACTCCTCTTGTTCTTCCTGCTATATATCCTTCCTGCTTTTTAAAGTATAGTGTTGTCTTCAATCTCACAGTAAAAGCATGGTATATGAATGGACTGAAATTGCCCCCCCCCCCATGCAAACCTTGATCTTGTGCCTCCCCCTCACCACAAGCATGGAATTTTGTCTTGCCATCCCTTCCACCCAGGTCAGAAGGTCTTCTTGCTATCTGTCCTCAGAAGTCCAGTGCTGCTGTGCTTTCCCCGAAGGCGGCCCTGTTCCCTGGAGATCTGGTTACACAACAGTGATGCCATCAGCATCCACTTTGACAACCTGGGCTTGGACTTGGATTCCATTTGAAGGTGGTTCAGCTCTGGTTCTTTGATATTGCAAGTTTGCCTTAAGTCCCTCCACCCTTTGTGCTTGCATCTTCTGATTGCCAGGTCTGCATCTTTCCCACTGCCCGCTCATAGGTTGCTCCACAATGAAATCATACTGGTCCAGAGGGGAATGCTCAATTGTACACAAAGACTCATTGAACAGGTAACCAGAGTTCATTCTTTCCATAGGTGCAGCATCCACATGGCTGCAGCAGCTGGATGGAGTCACCTCTGTCTGGGAGGCCTGATGATGAGTGATGTGCTGGGTGTCCGGTTGTGGTTCAGCCCTTCGAAAAGAGCGATGGGCAAATATGCCAATAAAAAACATCTCAACAGCTAGCGAATAGTAGAAGATCACTGGAGAGGGGAGAGGAGAGTTAAAAATGCAGAAAGGATGGTGTGCACACTGCAATGGTTTTACTGAGTGACCCTAGTTTGCCAAACTGGTCTACTACATTGGTAGATTTTATCTTGCCCTTTAGTCAGATACTGGGTCCAGGCCTGGGGAAGACCCAACCCTACAAAGATCCTGGTTTTCCTTTCTTCCTGCAAGGGCACTGGACCCCTTCTCTATGGGATGGCAAGCCAGTCAGCTGTTCCAGAGATGCCAGTCCAGAGGGTGAGCTGGCCTGCTGCCTATTTTGAGTTCTCTCTGTGTGGATTCTGCCCTGCTGGATAAAGTTGAGCTGCTATTTTGCTGATTCCCACTACAAACACTAACACAATTTCATTTTCAATGCCCACTGAATGTATTTTTATTTAAGCAAGGCTTCCCTGACTAATCAGCCATACTTTTATTGGTACATTTTAAAAACCTTAATACTGGATTTTGATGAGGACAAAACCCTCTTCTGTTGTTCACTGCTAAGATATTTTATTGGATGTAAAGCAATATGTAAAATTTGCAAATAAATAAAGCCCCATGAAAGGCTGTTCCAGAGGATTGGGGACACAGTCTGGAATAGCACAGCAGTAGTGTTGGGGGCAGCAATTGGAAACCAGCAAATCTCTTTCCCCCACCCCCAAACATGCCTCCAGCAGAAGTCTTTGCTGGATCTGGGTTTCTTCCATGATCAGAAGGACCGCTCTCTTTTTGCAAAATGGCAAGTGTGGAGTCACCCCACTCATGGCTCCCCCAATTTAATGAACTCTCCCCTTAAAGTTTAAGGTTCCATATAGCCTGAAGTGCCTGTCTAATCTTGGAAGCTAAGCAGTATCAGGCCTGATGGATATCTGGATGCAATGTTGTAAACTGCCCGGAGGTTTCAGCAATGTGCAGTATAGAAATGTAATATAACTACTACTACTGTACTACTACTACTACTTACTTTGGGATCGGGCAATGGGGGAGAGAGGTGGGTTGCAAGGGATGGCCCCCACTGCCGCCATTGTCTCCAGGATCCCACTTTGCAGGCCACAGAGGACCAAACCCAAAATGATGCAGACGAATTTGGAGCGCAAGCCGTAGCCACTGAGGGCTGGCTTGGTGGCCTTGTAGAAGAGCAGGTAGCCATAGAAGGAAAGGCAGGTGGAGATGCCTACGATGACATTGATGTAGGAGTTGGGGTTGGTGTAGCCCACCTGTGTGAGAAGATAGAAGGAGTTGCAGTAACTTCCGGCAAGACATGATTTGGCTTAATTCCCAGTCATCTAAACAGCATAGTGAAGATCTACACCTTTCTAAAAAGCATGAATGAAGGCTCTAAAGTTTAGGCTTAAATTAGTCTAGAACACCCCAAGCTCCTCTAGAGCAGTGGTAGGCAGTGGGACACCTGTGGACACCAGCATGCCCTTGAACACCTTCCATGGTGCCCTACCCTCCTGCTTGTTTTTTTCTAATAACCAGGCTTCTTCCTGCCAGCTGAGATCATTTCAAAGCAAAGGGAGGGCCGCCAAGCTGCTGCCATTTTGCCTCTGAGCCACATGACTCCATGGTGCCTCTGCTCTGCCTGCCTGGCCTACCAACCATGCTAACATCTGCTGCTTCTCAGGACCCCACCCAGCCACTCCCATCCTGGCCTTGTTTGAACAGCTGCTCCATGGCCAGCTTTCACTCCCAAGGCTGGGAAATGGTGTTTGCTTTCTACTTTAATTCCTGAGGAGCAACTTTTCCAATTAAGCCATTGACACCCAATAACACTTGTCCTGTTGCCTGTATTCATCTATTCTATTTAGATGCTGCATTTTTTCCTGCAAGGAACTCAAGGTGGTTTACATATTCCTCCTCTTGCACAACAATCCTGTGAAGCAGGTTAGGTTGAAAGTCTAGCAGAGACACCCAGTGAGCTTCATGGCCAAGTGGAGATGTCAACCCCAGTCTCATGAGCCTAACCATTTGCCACACTGGTTTGTATGTGTTAAGCTTGCCCTGTTGGATTAGCAAACTAATGCTTAGTGCTATAAACCCTTCCAAATCAACATCCAGGAACACCAACATCCTCTTCCAGCTATTTCCTGAAGAACATGATACCGAGGTACAACCAAAGCTTCCTGTGGTTTTTGGATCTACATCAAACCATCAGCCTGCTACCCTGGATCTCTCTCTGTAGCAGCAACTGGAAGGTTAAACATGGAATGCCAGTTTCTTTACAAATTTTAGTGGTAATTGGGATTATTGCTGATCTGCAAATATAAACTGCTCTAACAAAATATGAAAGTTTATCAGCCAGGGATGTTTGGAAATTGTGATTCCACAGAGTGAAGAAAACCTGCAGAACTGATGATTATAAAGCAGATGCAGGACATGTGGCTCTGCAGATATTGGTGCACTGAAATTCCCGTCAGCCACCAGTAAGGGAAGATGGGAACTGTAGTCCAGCAACCTCTGGGGAAGCAAGCATTCCCCAGCCTTAGCTTAGACTCTAAATGCCATTAGTTATGTAGCCAGAGCTTCAGCACCCCTGGAGAATATTGAGGTACTGTATCAGAAGGTTTGGGGGAAACCTGAGTTTGCAAAGTACAAAAAAAATCCCCCCAGAATGAGGGGATGCTCCCGAGACAGCCCAATGAGGACTGAAATTGCTCTGTGGCCATGCAATTAACTATTGCAAGGTTGGGCAGACAGGACATTATATGGGAGTGGGAATCCAAGTACCCTTCACTTTGTGTTGCAGCTCCACTAGTAAATAATAAATAATGGTTTTGAAATGCAGAATAAATTATGCAAAACATGTCAACAATGATCTTTCTATTATGCATACAGACTGCTGAACTTGAGATAGCATTTTGATTTGTTTAGTTCTGACTCTTGTTAAGAGCCATTTGGGATGCAGCCGTATTGCCTCCATGGCAGATCCTTGTATGCCTCTTGAACCGGAGCATCAAGTGGCAGGAACCAGGTGCAGCAGAGGAGGCGCATGTGCCATGTGCCCTGCATTTCCTCTGGGTGGCCATTTTTGGCTGTCTAGATTAAGCACTGGGGAGGAAGAGAGGAGAAGGCTGGGACGCCAGTGGGGACAGGTGTAATTCCACAGTCCCTGCCTCCTCTCTACCCTCGCCCAACTTGCCCTTTCCCCTCCCCTCCAGGGCCCAGCTGTGACCTCAGGGAGACCAGCCAATGCAATTCTTTCCATGCTGGCTGCAAGGGGGCAGGGTGGAAACTTGGCCTTTGGAGTCCCACCTCCGAGACAATAGGATCTTGGAGATGGGACTCCAAAGAATCCTGCAACCAATCCGCTATAGGACTGTGCCCTCAGGGACTCAGTGAGGGTCAACATGAATACCACTCAGTCTCATGGAAATAGGTATCATCAGCCCACCTTTGAAGGCCCACCTGTGCTATCAGTGGATGTGCCACATGCCCATTTCTGCTTAATGGCAATGTACAAGGTTGACCATGTCCGCCTTCATCCCCAGCCACTTTGCCCATTGACTGCAACAGTGGCTCCCAAACTTTTTCGGTCATGGAACCTTTCTGAAGACATTTCTTCTGTAGAACCCTAACTCTATCCCTGATTTTTACTAAGCATTGTGAACCCACAACCTTCTTCCTGCTTGCATCTTCTATTGCCTGAGTAGTAGATTTGGAATAAAAAGAAGATATTTTAAATATGTTGTTGTTGCTGTTAGTTGCGAAGTTGTGTCCGACCCATCACGACCCCATGGTCAACATTCCTCCAGGCCTTCCTGCCCTCCACCATCCCCCGGAGTCCACTCAAGTTCATACCAACTGCTTCAGTGACTCCATCTTGCCACCTCATTCTCTGCCCTCTCCTCCTGCTTTTGCCATCTATTGTTCCCAGCATTAGACTCTTCTCCAGGGAGTCCTTCCTTCTCATTAGGTGGCCCCCAAAGTATTTGAGTTTCATCTTCAGTAGCTGGTCCTCTAAAGAGCAGTCAGGGTTGATCTCCTCTAGGACTGACTGGTTTGATCGCCTTGTGGTCCCAGGGACTCGCAGGAGTCTACTCCAGCACCACAATTCAAAGGCCTCAGTCCTTTGGCACTCAGCCTTCCTTATGGTCCAGCTTTCACAGCCATACATTGCAACTGGGAAAACCATAGCCTTGACTATACGACTATACGCACTTTGGTTGGCAGGGTGATGTCTCTGGTTTTTAGTATGCTGTCTAGATTTGCCATAGCTTTCCTCCCCAGGAGCAAGCATCTTTTAATTTCTTGGCTGCAGTCCCCATCTGCAGTGATCTTGGAGCCTAGAAAAATAAAATCAGTCACTACCTCCATTTCTTCCCCATCTATTTGCCAGGAAGTGAGAGGACCAGATGCCGTGATCTTAGTTTTCTTAATGTTGAGTTTCAAGCCAACTTTTGTGCTCTCCTCCTTCACCCGCATCAAGAGGCTCTTTAGTTCCTCTTCACTTTCTGCCATGAGAGTGGTATCATCTGCATATCTGAGGTTGTTGATATTTCTCCCAGCAATCTTAATTCCAACTGGAGATTCATCTAGCCCCGCCTTTCTCATGATGTGCTCTGCATATACCTTAAATAGGCAGGGTGACAGTATACCGCCTTGCTGAACTCCTTACTTTTGAACCAGTCAGTGGTTCCGTGTCCAGTTCTCACTGTTGCTTCTTGACCCGCATATAGGTTTCTCAAGAGACAAATAAGATGGTCTGGTACTCCCATCTCTTTAAGAACTTGCCACAATTTGTTGTGATCCACACAATCAAAGGCTTTAGCATAGTCAATGAAGCAGAAGTAGATGTTTTTCTGGAACTCCCTAGCATTCTCCATGATCCAGCGTATGTTGGCAATTTGATCTCTAGTTCCTCTGCCTCTTCGAAATCCCGCCTGTACTTCTAGTAGTTCTCGGTCCACGTACTGCTGGATCCTAGCTTGTAGGATTTTGAGCATAACTTTGCTGGCATGTGAAATGAGAGCAATGGTGCAGTAGTTTGAACATTCTTTGGCATTGCCCTTCTTTGGGATCGGAATGTAAACTGACCTTTTCCAATCGTGTGGCCACTGTTGAGTTTTCCAAATGTGCTGGCATATTGAATGTAGCACTTTTACTGCATTGTCTTTTGAGATTTTGAACAGCTCAGCTGGAATGCTGTCACCTCCACTAGCTTTGTTGTTGCTCAGACTTCCTAAGGCCCATTTGACTTCATGTTCTAGGACGTCTGGCTCGAGGTCAGTGACCACCCCATCGTGGTTATCAGGGACGTTAAGCTCTTTCTTGCATAGTTCCTCTGTGTAATCTTGCCATCTCTTCTTAATCTCTTCTGCCTCTGTTAGGTCCCTGCCATTTTGGTCCTTTATCATGCCCATCTTTGCATGAAACTTTCCCTTCATATCTCCAATTTTCTTGAAGAGATCTCTGGTCCTCCCTTTTCTATTGTTTTCTTCTATTTCTTTGCACTGTTCATTTAAGAAGGCATTCTTATCTCTTCTAGCTGTTCTCTGGAATTCTGCATTCATTTGGGTGTATCTTTCTCTTTCTCCCTTGCCTTTCACTTCCCTTCTTTCCTCAGCTATTTGTAAAGCTTCCTCAGACAGCCATTTTGCTTTCCTGCATTTCTTTTTCTTTGGCATGGTTTTAGTTGCTACCTCTTCTACAATGTTGTGAACCTCCGTCCATAGTTCTTCTGGCACTCTGTCTATCAGATCTAATTCCTTAAATCTGTTTGTCACCTGTACTGTATATTCCTCAGGGATATGATTTAGGTCATACCTGAGTGACCTTGTGCTTTTCCCTACTTTCTTCCATTTAAGCCTAAATTTTGCAACAAGAAGCTCATGCTCTGAGCCACAGTCAGGTCCTGGTCTAGTTTTTACTGACTGTATAGAGCTTCTCCATCTTAGGCTGTAGAGCACATAGTCAATCTGATTTCTGTGTTGACCGTCTGGTGATGTCCACATGTAGAGTCATCCCTTCGGTTGTTGGAAAAGAGTGTTTGCTATGACCATCGTATTCGATGGACAGAATTCTACCCGCCTGAGCCCTGCTTCGTTTTGTACTCCAAGGCCAAACTTGCCTGTTATTCCGGTTATCTTTTGGCTTCCTACTTTACCATTCCAATCCCCCATGATGATAAGGACATCATTTTTTGGTGTTAATTCTAGAAGATGTTGTAGGCCTTTATAGATCTGGTCAATGTCAGCCTCTTCAGCACCAGTGGTTGGGGCATAGACTTGGACTACTGTGATGCTGAATGGTTTGCCTTGGATTCGAACTGAGATCGTTCTGTCATTTTGGAGATTGTATCCCAGTACTGCTTTTCCTACTCTTTTATTGACTATGAAGGCTACTCCATTTCTTCTGAGGGATTCTTGCCCGCAGTAGTATACCTGATGGTCATCTGAATTAAATTCACCCATTCCTGTCCATTTTAGATCACTGATTCCAAAGATGTCGATGTTCAGTCTTGTCATCTCTTGTTTGACCACATGCAGCTTGCCTTGATTCATGGATCTTACATTCCAGGTTCCTATGGAGTATAGATCTTTGCAGCATCGGACTCTCCTTTCACCACCAGATACATCTGCAACTGAGTGTCCTTTCGGCTTTGACCCAGTCGCTTCATTCTTTCTGGCGCTACTAGTACTAGCCCTCCGCTCTTCCCCAGTAGCATATTGGACACCTTCCGACCTGAGGGGCTCATCTTCCGGCATCATATCTTTTTGCCTTTTGGTACTGTCCATGGGGTTTTCATGACAAAGATACTGGAGTGGGTTGCCATTTCCTTCCCCAGTGGAAAAGGACAATATGGACAGTCAAATCACAGATGTCCTATCCTCATAAGGCAATCTGTGCCTTATTCAATCTTATTTTCACAACCATAGGGGCTAGAAACTTGGTTATGTGTGTTCTTTCATTATTTTTGTTTGATTTGGCATGCGTCAACCTAGAAGCATAGACACAAAGTTTAGATTATTAAACAGATGTCTGCCTGGACATAATCCATATAAATCACATTCTGGGATCAAGGAGTATCGCAGCAGTCCCCCAAGGGTGCAGGAGAAATACAGAGAGAGTTCATAATATTACAGTGAAGCCTTCCTTGTCCACTCAATTCTGTGCTTCTTTCTTCTTTTCTTTCCCCTCCCCTTCCAGGATAATCATTGTACTGCGGAACCGGATCTATGTCTATTCCTTCCCAGACAACCCCACCAAGCTGTTTGAATTTGACACCCGAGACAATCCCAAAGGTATGAACTCCCCCCTTCCTGCATGTCCTTTATTTCTCATCACAGTCCTCTTCATGTACTCAAAAGAACCAAGTCCCACTTTGACTGCCACCTCTCTAACTTTTGCTTGATTCCTCCCCTGCAGGACTCTGTGATCTCTGCCCCAGTTTGGAGAAGCAGCTCCTGGTTTTCCCTGGACATAAATGTGGCAGTTTGCAGCTTGTGGTGAGTGTGTCAGGAGGAAAGGCCAGAGACGGAAGAAACAGGAGAATCAGTAATGGTTCCATCCTGGCTTTGTACTACCATGTTACTTAAGGGGGCCTGTTGCATTTAGCCAAGGTGTCTGCAGTTGGTGTGCTGTACAAGCAATTGCTATTTTGCAGATGCAGCTCCCACTCAGGTGGCTCTGTCATTTGAATCCAGTGAGTGGAGGTTATGCAAGGGTTAAACAACCTTCACATAGCCTGTTTTAAGCCTGGGGATCTGGTCCAACTAATGTATCTCCCGTTAGATTCAAGGATGGTTTGAGAGGGAAGAGACCACCTATTTTAGAGAAGATTACAGTTTATTGAATATAGGGAAGAAATACGGCTGCAGAAAGCTTATACTTCCCTTCTTTGTGGTTGTATTGGTTCCTAAATAGGCCAGGGGATGCTCTGTGGGCCTCCAAAATTGCCCCGGTGAGTGATGCTTCAGTTCCACTCCCAGGGCTGAGAAAAAAAAGACTTTTTTTGTAAAGTTCTTCTCTCCCTCTATTGCAGAATTTGCTACTATACGCACAGGCTGCAACTTTGCTCCCTTGTGAAACAGGAGGTGTTGGTGAAGCAGTCTCAGTTTCCTTCTCACAGCAAAAGTCTCCCTTATCTACAGATAAAGAGCTTCCTGTTTCCCTAGTGATGTATGCTTGTGCTTTTCCGAGCAAGCTGAAATCCACAAAGACATGTCATAGCTCCAAAAAACTACTCTGGCTTTTGGATACTGAGAAAGGCCACTAATCTGCCTGTTGAGCCTTAATAATTTCCCTACCATTATCTTGGTGGAGCACATCCAGTGCACCCACGAACCATTAAATAACTCACCAGAAGCTTCAGCATGCCATCAGAATGGGGGCAATGGATGCCATTACTAAACAGCTTTCTAATCATGCAGAAAACATAAACCCTGCTCCATCCAGTACCATGATGACACCTCCCTCCACTATTAAATACTAGGGTGGGGATGAATGACATTAGCACAATTCTTTATTTATTTATTTATTTATTTATTTATTTAAAACATTTATATACCACCTATTGCGCCCATGGCAACTCTGGGCAGCTAACAAACAATTAAAACCCATTATAAAAACAATGAAGCAATAAATATACATTAATAAATATAAATCCAATATATAAATTTTAAAATACAAATAGAGGTTAGGTGGCATCTAATAAATATTAAAATATTTTTTTAAAGGTAGGTCTTTGCCTGGCGCTGAAAGGAGTATAAGGAAAGTACCAGGTGAATCTCTGTAGGGAGAGCATTTTCTCTCCCTAAGGAGATGTGGGGAGCAGCAGCAGAAAAGTCCCTCTTCCTAGCAGCCATCCCTCTCACTTCTCTAAGGGTTGGCTCATGTAGGAGGCCATTGTAGTTAGGAGCATAGTAAGCTCCTTGAGGCAGGGACCTGTGCTGTTTTGCCTTTGTACACTTTAAGCTTGCAGGCAACATGTCTTTTTCATGACTCAACTGTATGGACTTTTGTTGTTTATTTACAGTTTCTAGAACTGAGACACTTTATAAGCAAAAGATTGTAAAGTCTTTGTGGCAGAGAACTTGCCCTTTTTCTTCAATCTATTTATTTGTTTATTTTAAAATGTATTTACAATATCATTTAACACAAGCCATCAAGTACAATCCAGACAATGGGAATATCTTAATGGTTATTAAAAGCAATTAATAACCATGCTTTCCCAAGTCAACACTTTTTATTTCTTTCCAGTCTAATTTAAACAATTTCTATTATTCATTGTTGTTATACCCACCACTTTTTCCTGAAAGGAACTCAGGGTGGCTTCCAGTTCCTTTCTCCATTTTATTCTCACAGTAATCCACTTGGGTTAGGCTGGGAGACAATGACTAGCCCAACGTCATTCAGTCAGCTTCATGGCCAAGTGAGGATTAGAACCTGGAGCTGCTGAGTCCCAGGCCGGCAACTCTCACTACTATAAGATCTTTCCCTACATTCCTAGTAATGATTCTTTGGCAGATACTTCTGTAACATCATAGGCAGGGTATGAACTGGGTTGCCAATGCTTGGGGCAGTTCGGAAATCCCTTGGTACCCTGTGTTCTCTGTCACGATTAGCAACCGCTTATGTCTTATCCAGATTATGCAGTTTGCCAGTGTGTGGTCTGTTTGATGGAGTCGTGCAAGGCACTGCACAGGGTGCTGACTGTGCCACTCTCCAACTGTGGCAAACTTTGCACAGTCTCATCCCGCCGCTGGTGCCGGCCAAGTTTCTGAAATGTCCTCCACACGCTCCCTGTTAGGTGTATTCTGGCAGCCATAAAGCAGCGAGGTGCTTCCTTTAAAAATTCCAAAAAGGCTGAGATTTGCAGGATGCGACGTGCCTTGTGCTTTCAGTGCTTACAGAGCGTTGAGTGTCGAGTGGTCTTACTGTCAGGTGTTCCCTTTAAAATTTGGTTCATTACTTCTATTTTTATATATAAAGTTTATATTTGGGTAAATTTCTGTTTTTTAATGACAAATTGTGTTGCATTAGCATTAGACTATGACACATATTCCATTTCATTATGATTTATTGCTTTTACCCCTCCTTCTATGTATGTACTTTGTATAATTATATTGCTGCTGAGGAAGGATTTTTTTTTCCTGAACACTTTGGACCTGGATGAAGTTTCTTTCTCCTCCCTGTATTTATCTATCCACTTAGGTTTAGAGTGGTATGCAACATTATAAATAAAATAAAACACATAAAAAGAATATTTATATTTCACCTTTTCCCAGAAGAGAACCCAGGGCATGATTTCCCTTCTCTTCATTTTATTCTCACAACAGCCTTATGAAGTAGATGAGGCTGAGAGTCAGTGACCAGCCCAAAGTCACCAAGTGAGCTTCAAGGCTGAATAGGGCCTTGGTCCCAGATCTCCTGAGACTTGGTACTACCTTCTAACCACTGTGTGACACCGGCTCTCTCTGATTCTCTCCCAATTCCCTTGTTTGTTCAAGTCATATTTTGCCATTGTATCTGAACTGGGCTCTCTTCATTTTATTCTCACAACAGCCTTATGAAGTAGATGAGGCTGAGAGTCAGTGACCAGCCCAAAGTCACCAAGTGAGCTTCAAGGCTGAATAGGGCCTTGGTCCCAGATCTCCTGAGACTTGGTACTACCTTCTAACCACTGTGTGACACCGGCTCTCTCTGATTCTCTCCCAATTCCCTTGTTTGTTCAAGTCATATTTTGCCATTGTATCTGAACTGGGCTGACAGTGGTTTGTTGCGAACCTCTGCTGGAAATCATCTTCAAACCTTGCTTTTTGATTCTGGTTTGCTGGTGGATTATGGCTTGCTCAATTTAAGGTACACTAGGAGTGAAGGGAGCATGCAAGCATGTAGCATGTTTCTTTTCTTACAAACTGTGGCTAGGAGGAAGGGAGTGATAGTCTGCCTGTACCAGCCTCTGGATGGGATCACATTTTTTTTTTCTTTTGACTTTTCCCCATCACAGGATCTTTCCAGCACCAAGCCTGGTACCTCCTCTGCCCCATTCACCATCAATGCTCATCAAAGTGAGATTGCTTGCATCTCTCTCAACCAGCAGGGCACTGTTGTGGCCTCGGCCTCTAAGAAAGGGACCCTCATCCGCCTCTTTGACACACAGACCAAGGAGAAGCTGGTAGAACTCAGGAGAGGAACTGACCCGGCAACCTTGTACTGGTGAGAATTTCCTTCCTTCTCGGGCACACACATGTGGTCTTCCCCAGATCCTTCCCCTGCATGAACCTCTGCATGTAGAGATAGTCTATCTCCTAATGCCAAATTCTGGAGACACACAACACTCAGATTTGGTGTGTGGAAGTCAGCAGGTGAAGATGTTCATGGCATGGAGTTAAGTCACCTGCTAACTGCTGCAGAACATGCTGCTGTCAGTGGGTCAGCACCTAGGGGCTAGTTCAAAAGCTGGCAACCCTAGGAGTTGGCTGTCACCTATACTGCAAGTCCCCCCAGAAGCATCTTTGAGCCAGTGGAACCAGAGCACTGACCTGGATGTGTCTTTGATCATTTTCTGTGGGCCTCTTGGCCTGGCTTACATGTAACAACAACCCTGAGTATTGGCTCTCATGAAATCATGGGTTGTTAACCAAAAACAGCCCAGGAAGAGAATCCATGCTTTGTTTGTGGATTGAAAACTCTGGGTGTTCATTGTTAACAACCCATAGTTAGAACAGTTAGAACAAGTTCACACATAACTACCCACTAGTCAGCAGTCCATAAGCCAACAACATACTCTGGGTCATCACTGTGTTCTCATGATAGCCATAAACACTTAGGTTGCAACACTGTGGCTTGGTTCAAACATAATGTGGATTGTTGTTGAATTGTGGGATATTATGTGCAAACCCTGCACTATGGTTTTAACTATGGGTTATTAACCATGAACAACCCAGAGTTCACAACCCAACCACAAAACATGAGTGGTGTTCCTGGATCATACATAGTTAACAACTCATAAATGATAGTGTGATTTTGCACTTAAAAGAATAACAGTCTTTGCACCCGTGATTCAGTGACAACCCATATTCAGCCCATGGTCAGGGGTGTCTTTCGGTTTAGGCCAGGCCTGTTAGGCTTGTGCTCTTATGTTAATCATTACTCAAGGCCAGTTTAGCTCAGTGATTCAAAGTATGTGCAGTGTTGAGGCTTGCAGGCTGCCTAAATGTATGCTGTTGGTCACCTGGCTGTAGTCTGAGGACCAAATGATTCATCATTAAAGAAGCGCAGTCATTTTAGAAGGGTATTATTAAAGAATAACAATCCAGTTCTTCTGAACAAGTCATGAGGCCACACATTTTCGGGGAGTCTTGGTTCCACAAGGATGTCTTTGGCTGCCCTTCCACCTCTGGTGAAGAATTTGTTGCTCAGTGGGAGGGAAATGTTTATTAATCAGGAAAACTTGAAATGTCAGATCAGCCTTCTTTTTCCCCCACACAGCATTAACTTCAGCCATGATTCTTCGTTTCTCTGTGCCTCCAGCGACAAAGGAACCGTCCACATCTTTGCCCTTAAAGACACCCGCTTAAATCGCCGTTCAGCGTAGGTGGCGGGGCCAGTGCCTCCACTTATTATGTTGCTGCTGTTGTTGTTGTTGACATTTATACATTACATTACTGCACTACATTCTCCATTACATTACACTGCTTCTCGGGTCAGTGTGGGGAGCATTACTGCCTCAGCCATTCTGACCTTTTCCTTCTCCCTCTCTCACAGGTTGGCGCGTGTAGGAAAAGTTGGGCCCATGATTGGCCAGTATGTGGATTCCCAGTGGAGTCTGGCCAGTTTCACTGTGCCGGCCGAGTCTGCCTGCATCTGTGCTTTTGGCCGGAACACCTCCAAGAACGTCAACTCTGTCATTGGTGAGTGACGCTGGCAGTGGGTGAGGGGCACAGATGCCTGTTTTGTCCCACCGTGGCCACTAGAAAGGGTGCTGCAAGATGGGGGTCCCAGGGCCAGCCCTGTAGGTAGGTGTGTGCTGAAGCAGGCTGCCTCAGGTGACTGAGTTCTTACAAGATCAATAAACTGTATTATAATGAACCTAAGTGGCTTGGGGCCTGGGTATCAAAAGGAGCTCCTTCTCCCATAAATGCCTATCTGGGGCCTCAGGTCATTGTCAAGATCCTTCTCAAGGAGCCCCCTCCTCAGGAAATAAGGAGGGTGACTACAGGGAGAAGGGCCTTCTCGACAGTGGCACCCTGGCTGTGGAACCAACTCCCCAGAGAGGTTTGCCTGGCACCCTCTTTGTACTTTCTTCAGTGCCAGGCAAAGACAGACCTTGTTATTCTCTCAATATTTTAATTGTTAGGATAATTTTACTGGTCTTAATAGCTTATATCTCGTTTATAATCTCCTGGCTAGATAAATTGAGGTTTTGCAAAGTTTTATAATGGCATTGTTTTGGATTGTTGGGTTTTATTATAATACTGTCTATTTTAATATAATTTTATTGTACATTTTTAACCTTGTAACTTCCTCAGGGAGCCTTATTGGCTAAAGTGGTGGAATAAAAATACAATAATAGAATAAAATTACATTTTATTTTTAATAATAAAGAGCAACAAATTGCTAATTATTTTTAACCATCGTAGGAGGCACCATTTTGGAATTGTCTCAGAATCTCTGTTGAATTTTTGGGTGGGATAGAAGAGCAGTGATAAAAATAATGAGTTGAATAGTTAGGAAACACCCAGAGAGCTTCTGTGAGGCACTATATAAATGGAGTCTGTCTGTGTCTCTCCCAAACATTTAAGTTCTATTTCTGCTCTTACAGCAATTTGCGTAGACGGCACTTTCCACAAATATGTCTTCACCCCAGATGGCAACTGCAACCGTGAGGCTTTTGACGTCTACTTGGATATATGTGATGACGATGACTTTTGAGCACAGCAAAGCCTGCCATGGCACAGGCAGATGGATAGCTACTGAGTTCATGAACTATTTGGAGTGTTGTTTAGCTCTGGGCATGTTGAGGGCCCAAGCTGGGATAAAACTAAGGCATGTTAGGAATCCTGCTAGGCTGCTTATGGCAGGCTGGGATGGAAATTCCAAAAGCACCTTGAGTCTTCATCTCTTTTAACGCTGCCACCCCAGGTGTGCTATTTTAACTGCTACTATTACCTGGTTCATTTGGGACCAGTATGAAGACCTAAAAGAATTAGCTTTGGGGGGAAGAGCATTTTTCTGACTTATATCCAGCTGGGATATTGGAAGCTGGGTGAGGCAGGATCCTTGCTACCAGCCACATCTGGATGTCCCCAGCTTTCAACAGACATTTTTGTGGGGAAAGGGGAAGAGCTATCATTAAAGGTAAATATGAATGCTTCCGCTTTGCTTTTTTGACCTTCTGTGACTTTTTGTAGAGGGTGGAAGACAGAGGCTAAAAGAACTGAGAGTATGTGAATCTAGACATAGCCTAGCTGGAGCAGGGAAAAATGAATGCTATTACTTACCTAATTGGGTGGGTGATGGGGTGATTTATACAATGTTACGCATCAGTGGGGAGGGAGTGGAGAACCACTTTGTGCTGGAGAAGGGAGCTGTTTAGCATATAATCAATCTGTATTATTAGTGAACCTATGAGGAATCACAAATAGCTCCTAAAGGTTATTTCCAAACAGGGCAGCTTGGCATTGAAATTCAGGTCTGCTAAAAGGAAGTACTTCTTCACACATGGCATAAATGGAATTCATTATGAGAAGTAGCGAAGGCCACCAGCTTAGCATTAAAAAGGGACTAGACAAATTGATGGAGGATAAGGCTGCTACTCATGGTGGCTACACAAGTTCCCGTACTGGATACCATACACCCCTGTAGGCCAGTTGCCTACAGGGACATTCGTGGGAGAGCTTGCGGGCTTCCAGTAGCTGAAATCTTTAGGTTGTCAGAAAAATGGGAGACTGAGGCCCTAGTGCTCCTGTACATGGCACAACACTGAACGTTAAAACTTGCCTGCCAGCTGTATCTGTGTGGCACCAGAACTGTGCTGGGCAGCACAGAAAGGGCCGGCAGCTGTTGAACCAAGCCCAGCAGCAAATGCAGTGAAGCCCCTGCTCATTAACTATCCAGGATGGGAAGAGTCTCAGATGCTCTGGGACTGGGTTAGCTGGGGAGGAGCAAGTCCTGAAGGAACTTGTTGGCTTACTGGCCAAAGCAAAGAAAGGAGGGATGTATGTGCGTTATTTGGGCAGAGATGGCTCGCTTCCTGCTGGTAAAAAAATACTCTGAATGGATATTTTGTTCTCTGCCAGGGATTCATGGATTGCCCAGCAGCTGTCTTCATCTTAAGTTGGGTGTTGCTAGGGCTTGTTTTGTGCTTCTCAAACAGGAGGAGTCTGGATTGTGCTTGAATGGATGCTGTGCACCTAATATGCATGTAGGGCCAACAGAAGACATGCAAGCATATTGTTGTGGCCATACAACGTGAATTAACAGAGCCTTTGCCTGCTCTGCTCCTTTACTGCAGGACTCCCAAACAGCACGTGTGATGAAATCAGGCAACTTCATTATGCTTCAAGGTTGTACAATATTTGCATTGTTGGTGAGCTCCTCTACCATAAAATCTGTGACTTTTTTTCTCTGACAGTCTATACTAAATATTTCTAAACAATGAAAGAAGACAGAAAATGTTGACAGAACTTCCGAAGCGGCAGGAAAGCCATGTTTCCATTCCCTGCCATCACAACACCCCATCGCCTGAAATTTGTGAATATAGTAGAAAAGTCTTCTTAATCCCTCTCATAGACACACAGTTTTGAGATGGAATCAATTAGGAAAATGGGGCATGAGTAGCAAATAAAGTGAAAGTTGGAAATTAGAAGCCTCTTGTTTATTAATATGTGATATCAATTATATGACCAATATATTGGGAATATCGGTATTGCAGTAAATCACGTTTTCCAGCACTTTTTCACAACTCCTGGAGTCTTCTGATTGGGGGCTTTTGGGAGTTGTAGTTCAGCACATCTAAAAGATTGGAGAAGACTGGTCAATGAAGGGAGGTAGATTATCTAGGATTGGGAAGCGACTGCGGAATTAATAGCAGAAACTATTTTCAGAAAAAGCCTGCAAGTGGGAGGAAACTGCCCCACACGTTTTTCTTCCTGCTCCATGATTTTTTCCTTCAGATTTCTGGTTCTGTTTTCTGCTCATTATTTCTGCCCTAGGTTACCATCTGATGCCTCTATCAGTGCTTTTTTTGTAAAAAAAAAAAAAAAAGTTCCGGAACTCACGTCGCAGGCAGTAAGCGCGCGACCACACACACCAATCCCGAGCTAAGCAGCAGCCGAGAGCAGCGCCCTCACTATCTCACTAGCAGATAGCGGACACAAAAGCAGCCTGCAGGCACTATGTTAACGATGTTTGCTGCTGATCTGCTACGATTCAAAATCACTTCGTAAAATCCATTGGAAAAAAAGGTGCCGGAACGCCGTTCCGGTGCGTTCTATGACAAAAAAAGCCCTGCTTCTAATAATGACAGAGGGTGTAGTCCACGAAACCTCATCACGATAACTTTGCTTACAGGGCGGTGCTCCTGTCTAGCTAGGGGCCAGTCTCTCGCGGTCCAGACTTGGAGCGCTTGTCTTGGAGCGCTTTTTGGGTTCATCTTTCAAGATCTGCTAGTCTATGAAGTCAGTTTGCGCCTTGCGAGTCCCGGCTTTCGGATTTTCTCCATTCTAGCAGCCTATCTTTAGGATTTGTCGAGCTGCGGTTTTCGTTTCGTCTCCTTTCGGTGGGGAGACAGCAGTGAGCTTCTGCACGCTGCACCGTTTCAAAGAGGAAGGAGAGGCCCACGGAATCTTGAGCAGAAAGCAAGCCCCAAGTAGGTCAGAGCGTGTTACAAATGAGATTTCTTCAAGCTAGGAAATAGAGTACTTAAATTCTGCTAAAAAATATAACAACTATGGCAACAAAAGGCTTCCGGAAGGCAGGGCGTTCGCTTGCAAGACTCCATTTCCCACAATGTCTCGCGGCCAGGCTTGTCGCCGCGAGGCATAGCGGGGAGTGTAGTTCTTCCCCAGCCCGAGCGAGCGAAGATGTCCGAGGTGCGGCTGCCGCCGGTCCGGCCGCTGGACGATTTCCTGCTGGGCTCCACCCGCTTGGCTCCCCCGGACTTGCGAGACCTGCAGCGCTGGCACAACCGGGTCATCAATAACCTCCTCTACTACCAGAGCAACTATTTGCTGGTGCTGGGCGCGGGGCTGCTGCTGGGCGGGTGAGCGAGCGAACGCCACGGCGGCGGGCTGGGATGCGGGGCTGATCCCCGGCCGAGGAGCGAGGTTGTGGGGCCTTCGACGCTTCGCAGCCTTCGACGCTTCTCGAGCTCAGAAATTGTGGGAGAGGAGAAATGCACCACAGTGCAGTATTGCTGAGAGTCCAAGCCTTATACAATAGGGTATAATTTCGAGGAGGGGAGGGTAAGGGGGAGTTTGAGGAGGGAATCCTTTGAAATCGAAATTCTAGTCAGCATTCCTGGGTTGGGGGAACGGGGAAGTGGATTTGTGGAGAAGAGTTGCCTGTTTTTCTCTTTCCTTTTGTATTGCTCCTGCTTCTTTAACAACAGTCTGATACAGCGGGCAGATGCAAAAGAGAACAAGGACTCCTGCAGCTGCAGTAGGTTGCCTTGCAAGCTGCAACAGTTTCCTCTTCCGCACAGGAGGCCTGTCCTCCTTTGCATCTGTCGCAAAGGAGAGACAAATATTTTGTATATCGATGTAAGTTGATGCCCAAATAGTACTTATATTGCACTTAGAAAATCAAAGGGGTCAAGCACAGTCAAATGTGTGTATGTGGTTATATGGTTCTCAGAACTCAGGAACACAATGAAACATGAAAAGCCTGTTTCAGCTCTGGATCTTTTTCATGTGTTCCTATTTTGTTTCATTTGTTTGGGAGAGCTTCCCATGGTGAACTGTTGAGTGTCACCAGCCTCTGCCCAGAAGGGCTGTGTCTGTTGTGTGGTTATTAAGGGCCAGAGCTTAATAGGAAAGCATTTTTGGCAGGTTGTGAGTGTTGTGTGAGGCACTTGACATGTTTTCCCCTTTTGTATCTGAACTGAGACTGGCCTACAAAAATTGAGAACCTTTGCCACTGCGTCTCTCCATGTCACCTGCTGGTTTTCTATAACTGCTAAGGCACAGAAGCAGCAGGCCACGCTACATTTAATATAAAAAAAGGTGGCAAGCCAAAAATGGGGCAGGGCAGGTTAATTGGAACAGATGAGCTTGGAACTTAATACTGTTGATACTACGGATTCAGCCTAAGGCCATTCCTGCTCCCTGCACACCCCTGGTTGTCTGGACCTGAGAAATTCAACAATGAGTGCTTCACACACAGGTGAATTTTCATGTTGAAAGAACCTTGGTTTTGACAGGACATATGCAAAGATGAGGAGAGGAACCTGGAAATCCTCCAGAAACATCCCTGCCCCATTTTCTCCTTTGCTGGCTTTTTCATCTCTAATTCTGAGTATCATTGAACTGTTCAAGGCGCAGGAACCTTGTTGCAGGATTAGAAAACAGCATTCCTCCTTCCTTCCTGGAGCACGTAAAGCAGTGATTGTGTGTGGCTTGCATTGCTGTCACCACCAGCTGCTCTCAGATGGGAGGCAGGGCTGCCAGGATGTGGAATGCAGCTGCCTTTTAAGGAGCCATCCGCCCTTACAGCATCCTTAGAAGCAGATGATGCAATCCTATGCATGTTGACTCAAAAGTAAGACCCATCAATGGTGCAGATAGGTAGTTTTAGACTTTAGGCTTAGCAGGTTTACAGGGAAGGCACTCTTGAGAGCAAGCTTATCCCCAAGTCATTAAAACCATAGGATTGCAACTTAGAGCCGCTCTCTTATGCACATACATGGAAATGAGTGGCATTGGACTAAGTGGGACTTATTTCTGAAAAGCCACATGCTGTGTAAGCATTGCTTCTGAGCACATTGAATTTCTTTTGCTATGGCTGACTGAGGGTTATCAAGTTCACCTTCTGGTCTTTAACAGAAATCAGCTTGCTTTCCCCGGAATGCCTACAAGCATTGATCCTCAGCATTTTGAGTTACATCCTCTGGCAGTGGAGGTGCTGTTTTGCTTTCATTTCTCATAGCTGCCAAGAGACCATTCCTTAGCCTTCCACAACCCTGGTGCCTTGTGCATGCGTTAGGATACAACTCTTATCCTCCTCAGCCAACACAGCCACTTATATGATTGCATTGCTTTTTTAAGCCAACAAATTGTGCAATCCTAGGTATGTCTTCCTAGAACTGATTTCAAATTAGTGGTCTTCACCATTGGATCCTGCTGAAAGGGAACCAACAGGCCACCCTGCTGCTCCGAATTAGGAGACCCCATTCCAGAGGTGGTCAGCCCGCAGCACTAGGGCCATATGCAGCCCTCAGCCTAAATCTATGAGTCCTTGTTCAGATTTCAAAGCCTTCTGGTGGCAATCAGTTCAGATATCTGGCAAGAGCAATCTGCCCCTTCTCTGGCAGTCCACTCACTAGGAAGAGAGAGGGTGTCAGTGCAACGGGCAGCAAAAGCAATGAGAAATTCCAGAGCCTTGGACTTTTGGCTCTGGCCCACTCCCACATGCAGCTTCTATCAGGTCATCCCTGAGGACAGGAAAAACCTTTCCCACTCTTGTCCTTTCCTTGTGCAAAGGTACTGTGTGATGGCTCTGGTTTGATTTCCCCCAAACTTTACTGAACACTTTTTCCTCCTTGGGAGGACCTGTTGATTTCTCTGCTATCATGATATGTAAGTTCTTTCCCCACCTGGAGCTAGGAATCTAATCCAAAAGGACAAGATAGCTGTATTCTGTTTTACTGTTTCATGATGCATCAAGAAAAGGTGATCTTTCCAAGGTGGTTTTAAGTAGCATCAAAATATATTTTAACATTGCAATGAATGATAGTAAGTAACACTTAAGAAGTGATCAAGATCCTTCAGGCATGGCAGGTGCTGGTGGGTGGCCGTGGTGGAAAGGAAATTCCAGCTAGAGCAGACTGCTTCCTTGCCTTACCCCTCTCCTGGAATTTATTGGGAGATCCCAGAGGAATAGTGGATGAAATTCTATGTACATTTTACATACAAATTAGCATCTAAGTGGACAGTTGCAGAAAGTGCCTTTGCTCCATTATACACTGGTACACCAGTGTATACACAAGTACACTGGTGTTGATCCTTCCTGAGTGGCATTTGACTTGGCAACAGTTACCCACATCTTAGTTACATCGCTCTTAGATTGCTACCTCCAAAAATTGTCCAGAAGTTTCAACTGGTGCAAAACATGGAAGCTGGGATGCTAACTGGCACATGGTATCGATATCACACCTGCTTTGAAAGGTCTGCATTGAAATGCTTTCCAGACACATTTCAGTGTCTTGGTTTTAGGCTTTAAAGCACTATGGGCACATTCTTATGCATGTTTAGACAGAAGAAAATTCTACTGACTAGGGAATGGTGGGAGTTATAAGACTTATTCTGTTGAAAGATGTATAGGATTGTATCCTAAATGGCTTTGGACTTGGGGACCACCTGTCTTACTGGAGAACACCCTTTCCCAGAAAGGCCTGTTTCTCAGGCATGTGTGAAAGGGTCTTGGGTCACTCTTAAACTGTAGAATGCACTCAAGCTGCGCGATTGGCTCCCACTTTCTTTGCTTTTAGAAAGTCATAAAGACCCATCTTTTTAATTCGGCTTTTCTAAATTGCATAATTCTAATGTTTTACTGTTTTTAATATTCTTGTTTTTCTTGTTTTAAATGCTGAGTATCACCTTGGTGGCTTTTTAGCAAATGAGTCAGTATATAAGCACTGACAAGAAGAAATAATCATACCATAAAACACCATTTTGCCCTGAGTGGAGAAGGGCTGGTGGTGCACAGTCACTTCTGTGACGGGATCTGGAATGGACCACAAGTGAGCCAGGGATGGGAGTGAGGCATCCATGCCCCCAAACCGCAGCTCTGTGGGCCATAAACTCCTCACTGTTGTACTCTTTGCTTCTTCAGCCTCTTCTGTATTGTGCTAAAGCTGATCTATGTGGTCATGTTAAGAAGGGATGTAGCTCCTGGACACAGTTGAAAATGGCTTTTGGGATCCCATCCTGCCCATCTCTTGCAGGTACTTTTGCCCTGTGCTGACTCTGCTGAGTGGTGCCCTCATCACTCTGATGTTTCTGGGCTTTGTCTGGGCTGCAGAGAACAAGGCTCCAGTGCGGCGCTTCCGGCGGAATAATCCTGGCACCTGTGTCCTCGCTATCCTTGCAGCTGCGTACTTTCTGGTGTCACTCTTTGAAGGCTCTGCCACCTTCCTCTTTTTCATCGCCCTGCCCATAATGTGTGAGTCCTTAAAAATTAATTAATTAATTAATTAAAAGCAAAGGGAGCCTTGAGGGTGGAAGAAGGCTATACCAGCTGGTACAGCATTCATGGTCTGGGTTTTGTGGTTGCAAACTTACTTCATCATCTGTTAACTTCTGCATGGAATCCGAGGTCTTCTCTAGAATACTTCCAAAAGGACATTAGGAAAGCATAAGTTTAGATGTACAGCATCTGTTCTGATGAGAACACCTCTTTACCCTTTACTGTAAATAAAAAAATCAAGTTTCTAGTCCTCATATATCAGAAACACACCATACCTACAAGAAGCTCCTTTGCTCATACGGTGGAGCATTAGTGTCTACCCTTTGCCTTCTGCAGAAGAACTAACTTATCAAACATTTGCATTGGGGATACTGTGACTTCTGCATCTTGTATTAGATCCTGCATTCTGCCCAGGACTCCATGAAGGCAGGGGTAACCCTTCCTGCAGGATGAGGTCTTCTTTTGTTTCAGACATTAAAATGGGTTGCATTTTCTACATGTCTGTATAGAACTTGGGCAGGTTGCTGCAATGGGCTGGTTGCGTGTTTCCTAATGCTGGTGCATTAGTCGGCATTCCACTCTGTAAGCTGTGTTAGTAGTAGGTTGATGAACAGCTGCTTCCTTCTGTGGCAGGAAGGAATTTGATGCAGTAAGGGTGGAGGAGTGGATGGGCTGTATTTAGTGCCCTCACGGTAACATCCACGCCAACTGCTTCTCTTCTGTAATGTTTCTATTGTATGTTTACAGCTCCACGTACACAGAAGTTCTCAGGTGGCATTGACTACAGAATTCACTTCTCAGAGACTCTTGGCTTTCTGTGTGAAACCACGAAAAGGCAAATTTCTAGCCCTAAAGGTTGAAAAGATCACCCTGCAAATGTGTGGGCAGTGCTTTGTGAAATCTGAGAGGTGTTGCTGAATAAATATTCTAGGGATTAGTGAGTGGACTTCTGTGACCTTCACGACTATTCCCCCTCCCAAGCATAAGTTATGCAACATTTTTTCAAGCACAGAATAACCCATTCAGATTCTGGAAAATGATGCATGCTTGCTTAATTCAGATAACTGTAAAAACTGGCTTTTGTCACATAACTTGGGCTATTTTGCTGCAAGGTACCCTGGTGTTCTTTTTAGGGCAAAGAGCATACAGGCCTGGCTACAGTTTCTTGCATAAAAGAGTGGACTTAGCTTTTTCCCTGCTTTTTTCTTTAATAATGGCCAACTGTCCTGCATCTGCTAGGAAAGCTATTGGTAAAGATGAAAGAGACTCTAATCTTGAGTTTCTGCCCTGGGTGAATGTCCTGCTCTACTTGGTCTTTATTGTAGATCAGTTTGTAACAATTTGTTTGTGCTGTTGCATTACTGAAAGTTAGAAAGGTTTGAATCCCGCCTTTATCCCTCCAGATGGGGTGGATGACATTTCCTATCATTCTTCACCATCAGATGATTGGGACAGACAGGAACTGCAGTCCAACCCATTTGAAAGGACACTAGGTTTGCCCTATGCCCTATATCATCCAAAGCAAAAGTGGGAATCCATCCATCCATCCATCCATCTGTGGGATTCCATCTGGTTTTATCTCTGTTACTTTGGAGCTGCTTTAGCAAAACTGAAAAGAGAGTAGAGACAAAGGGACATTCTAGTCCTGCCTTTCTGTTCTGGAGGAACTAACCGATCCCTCCTTCAGGACTAGCTATGAGTACATCTATTTGTGGGAAAGGAGAGATGTGTAGCAGGGAGAACATACTGGCTTTCCATTTCCACTGCTGTTGTTCTAAACCTCAGTTCTCTCTTCCCCTTCATGACAGTGATCCTCAGCCACGCCTCCTTGCGACTCCGGAACCTCAAGAACAAGATTGAGAACAAAATCGAGAGCATCGGGCTCAAGCGCACACCAATGGGGCTGCTTCTAGAAGCTCTTGGACAGGAACAGGAAGCTGGATCCTAGACCACCACCATAACACTTCCTTTCCTTTACCTACCTGCCTTCATTCCTCTTGGCTCTTTCTTCCCCCACCCCTGGCCTTTGTGCTAGTATATTCACTTAACCCAATCTAGCAACCTGGCTGTGAGCTCATGTAAAAGATGCAGTTTCCTCTGGAATAGGACAGACAACCAGTAGAGCTCTCTGGCTCAAAGTTGCAATCAGTAAGACTTGCAGGCAAATAAGGTGGAATTCTGACGGTATTTCTAATTGAGAACAATTATGATCTGTCAGGACTCTTCCCTGTTTGGTTTTTGAGAGGCAAGAGTATACAAAACAGAGAAAAGCAGAAAGTATAATCAGTGAAAGACTAGGCAGTATTTTTTTTCAAATGGTAAAATGTTAACCTGTGGATGCTCAGTTAGAAAATCCTCCCATAAGAAAAATCCTCATGACGCGATACAGCATGAAGAAAAGTCAGCTGGCAAATTAAAAAGCCTAGTTCTAGATGCCCTAAGGGAGACTGGCTTGTATGTTTGTATCACTTTGCACTTATACAGACTTTCAAATGCTCAAAGTGCTTCACACACAGTATCTTGCTGTAATCTGTTCCAAGACTGTTGCTTAGATCAGTATTGTTTTCCCCTTTTTGCAGCTCGTGGACTGAGGCTGGCAGTGAGTAGCTGGCCTCAGCCCACCTACCACATTATTGCCAGGAGTGAGATTCCAGCAAGGGTCTTCTTGACCAGACTAGTTCTCCTAGCAGTCATATTGCATCACTTCTGTATTGCTTCTGGTCTCCTAATTTTTAAATAGAAGCATCAAGCCTATTAGAATAAGTGAGATTGTTAACAGGTCATTCTGAAGATGATTTAGTTAAGTCTCAAAAGGCATGATGAAGACTAGCAATTCATTAACCTCAGTGGTTCCCATTAAAGGGAAGGGGAAACTCCAAAGTGTAGGCTGTGTGTAGACAAGGAGCTCTGTTGCAAAGGGTCCATCCAGATTCAAAGGAGGAAAGTCCACTCTGGGTAATTCCCATTTTGTTTGCTTTCTTTTTAGGGGAGTGAAAGAGCCTTGCCTACTTCCAAATCCGGCAAAAGTTCAAAATGTCTTTCTATAGTGTCCTTTGTATTCAGATAGCCACTATGTAAAACTTCAGAAGATGGACCAAACCTAGCACAGTATGTAGCTCTGAGGAGTCTAAGAAATATTTCCAAGAGATTGGATGTTGGCTAATAAATGAAGGAGGAAATAGATTGTAAAAGTGTTGCCAAAGAAATAACTGTCAGAGGGATTTGAAAACTGTCTCTCCATCTCCTAGTTTGTGCAGCTAGCATTTATTTGGTATCACTGGGGCGAGCTGGTGAGAAAAAACACTTCTTGTTGAGGAACATTATGTCCCACTTCTTTGTAAGGAAGAAGTTGACAAAGAACTTCATATCCAGGGTTTATTTCTAAGATGTATTGTATTGCTTTAAGGGGAAATCTGTGCTCTTTAGATTGTGGAGGAAGGAGAAAGCAGAATCAGATTTGCTCGTTATTGGCTTAGTGCAGACACCTCATCTTCACTGCTGCTGAGAAATCGTTTTCTGTCAGAACCTTCAGTGCCAACAGTGGACCCCATGGAATTGCCTTTATTCTAGCCTGATGCAGAGTCCCTCTGCCAGTGGGCCCCAAAAGCTCCCCTTCCAGTCTTCTCCTGTGCATTACACTCCACAAGTCTGAGGTCCCAGCTCCTAACCAACCCATGCCAGTGTGGCCTCCTTGGGCTTGAGCTACTGAGTACTGATATAGTGCGTCGCAGCATTCAGAGCACTTCACCTGTATTGTCTCAGGAATCCTCTCAACAACCTGGCATATCATGAACTCTCCCCCTCCACACACAAACACACAGGTATACCAAGAGTATAAATGGGGAAGGGGAGAAGTGGGTTGGTCACTTATAAGACACCCTACTCTTGTAGAAAAAAATCTTGGGGCTTTTGTGCTGAAGTGAGCCTTCTACTGCCCCCGATTCACAGCTCCATTCATGAGAGATGCAGCCAGGCCAGGAAGCTGCAGAAGCACTACCTTTGAGCAGGGTTGGGAAGATGTTAGCTGAATGACCCAGTGAACATAAAACATTTTCCCCCAGATGGGGGCTTTGGAAGGTGAGGCAAAAGAAAGCCAAAAGCAACACTGCTGCACCCACTTTTAGGGTTCCTGATTTGCTTCGAGAATCTTTCATTGTTAAAAGGCGGTAGTGATACCCTTCCTGACAACTTTTGGCTTCTAACCCATTCATGGGAGACCTTGATACATTCCCAAAATGTGTCAGGGACACACACCATGGGTGCTGTTTTGTCTGAGTTTGTTATGGCTTCTACTGCTTTTTTTAAAATCCTTTTTGTTTTTGGGGACTGAGAGCTCATTCTTCTCCTATGAAGTGTGCTCAAAAGTGGCCTATGAGGCCATTCCATCATCTGAGCATCTCTCTGAGGCAGAAAAGGTGAATCAACTCCACCTTTTACATGAAAGGCAAGAGATTTCCTGCCACCCTTCCCTCCCTCTGCCTCAGTAAATGTTGCTGGGTCCCCACTCTTTTTATCCTCCACTTTTGGAGAGGAAGGGTTGCTAAACATAGGAGCAATTGCATTGCCTATACGAGTAATTCACTGAGTAAACCTCTTGAGGCCTGCCTGGTGGATCACAGCTCCACAGGCTAAGCACACATTCATTTCAACATTTGCTTACCACTCCTTAGCTCCAACCCAATCCACTCAGTTGGTTTGGCAGCAGATAAGAAAATATCTGGCATCATTTCTAAGCCTGTTGTTCTAAGATGATGAGCTGTAGGCCTTAAAAAACAAAGTTAGGCTTTTAGAAAAGCTACAAAAATAGCTAAGCTGAGCCACCTTTTCTTGTGGGAAATGGCAACTTTCTTCTGAAAACATTGAGTTTCTCTGAAGTGCCTCTTCACTCAAAATACACTATTGGTATGATCATCACCAACTTTCAATCTCAACTTCGTAAGCTTTGATGGATGGCAGCAATTGAAAATCAATGCACTCAGATTTAAAAGATTCTTCCTTCGATGGCATGCTATACTCATCAAGTACAGAACATGCATGTGTGAACCCAATTCAAGGTGCTGGTTATTACCTATAAAGCCCTTAACAGCTTGAGACCTGGATACCTGAAGGAATGCCTTCTTCCATATTTGCCCTCTCGCCCCTTGAGATTGGCAGCAGAGGTCCTCCTCCGGGAACCCTCCATGAAAGATATTAGGAGGCAAAGTACCTGGAGGGCTTTCTCAGTGGTGGCGCCCCACCTATGGAATGCACTCCCCAGAGAGGTCTGCCTGGTGGCATCATTTGTTTTTTGGTGCCAGGTTAAGACCTTTTTATTCCAGAGGTATTTTAATAAGTTTTAATATTGTCTTTTCTATGTTTTTAATTGCAGCCAATGTGGGTTGGGAATTTTATTTGTTGTTTATGTTATATTTTACATTGTAAGCCATCCTGAGGCTTTTTTGCGAATAGGACGGCATAGAAATATTTTAAATAAATAAAATAATAAAACCAGCTCTTCCTGTTGAAATCCAAGGTCCTCACAAGCAGCATGCATTGTGCAAGGGTGTCACCTTAAGTCAGTCATTCCCCAACCAAACACATTGGACTATTAATGCCTAGAATCTGCCAGTTAGCGCTAGTCCCAACACAACTGAAGGCACCTTGTTTGGAAAGGCTCCCTTAAGTATAAATACTGAAATCCACAGTTCTTACTTCCAACTAAACAGGGGTAAGGTTGGCTTATGGGGTGTAGGCATGCACATCGCTTGTGTTCAAAACAGTAATTAAAATGTGGTGATGCTGAATATTATGGAATGGCTTTGGAGACCAAGCCTCACAGTGAAATGTATATTCAAAACTGATCAAAGATGAGCTTGTCTTAAATGCATGTAGAGCTTTGGTTTGCCTGGGTTCCTCCAATGAATAATCAGATGAGGTGCAATTATAGGGCAGACTATAAGGAGCATGAGTTAATTTGTCCCTTTCAAACAAAACCAACACTACAACTTATTTTGTCTATATTTTTTACATTCCTGCATCCATTTCTTTATTAAAATAAAGTCTTGTGATTATTGTCAGTGTTTTAGATGTGTCTTGTTCTGCCTGTTTTGCTGCAGTTTTCTTTAAATCTTCACCAATGACATGGCACTTTGACTTGGGCTTTCAAAAAGAATTTGCCGAAGCCCTATACCAAAGAGCCTAGAAAACCTTAGCAGTCATGTAATGAGAGATCCTCTGATGGATCTATAAAGGGGAGGAGTGTAGAAATCAATTCTCAGTTCTCATTAGTTGGGACCAATGCTTTTTAACTTATTCATAATCAATCTGATGTTAGGAGGGAGCAGTGAGGTAACCAAGCTTGCACTTACCAAATTATTCAAGCTGGTTAGAACTAAAAGCAATAGCAAAGTTCCAAAAGAATCTCCCCAAATTGAGAGGATATTAAAATGACAAAAGTGGTTCAATGTAAGCAAGTGTTAACATGATGCATACTGGAGCAAAAAGAGCCTAACTTAACATTAATGGAAGTGGATTTAGGGGTTGTGGTAGCGGACAACTAAGTAAAAGTGTCAGCCAAGTACGTGGCTTTTGCAAAAAGGAAAACCACCATGTTGGGTGTCTTCAGCAAAGGGACCTAATTAAAACTGCTGGCATTGGGATGGTCATATATAAATAATGGTGCAACTGCACTTAAACATGCTATGTGAAATTATTACTGAGGCTATTACAGAGTTGAGAAAGGTGCTAGAGACCATTAGTAGGAGGGTACCCTTGTATTCCTATTACACTTGGGGCTTCCTAGAAACGCAGACCACTATGAGAACAGAATACTGGATTTATAGATTGGCATTTGGTCTGATCCAGCATTAAGTGGAGGGGTCTTCTTATAACAGGTCTATTGCTACAACTGCTAGTCTCAGGTAATCTGCTCAGGCAGGCTTGGCACTAAAACAGGGACATGTGAGAGTCTGTATCATGCCTGGGAGAATGATGATTTTAGGTTGGGCCAAAATCACCCCCTGGGTGGGAGGGTATGAACCTGGATCTCTCCAATCCTAGTCAGATGCTCTGGGCGAGGGGATAGGCAACTTTGGGTGACGAGCCCATGTTTCACTCCTAGCCCTCATCCAGCCCCTGCAGGGACATACCTCCCTTGGTACTGGGGCCGCATGTTCCCCACCCCTGCTTCACCCACTGCACCTGCAGCTCACACCAGGAACAGGAAGGCCCTTGACAACAGCAACCCTGGCGGTGTCACAAAGCTATCAAACATCACCTTTACAATCTTTATTATAGAAACCTTTTCATATGCACAGTGCTTTGTTTTACATTCAGACCCCCATATACAATCTGTACAGTAGTGTATATTAAAAAGACACACAAGACAGTGACGCTGATATGGCCCTTATTCCTTCCTGGAAGGAAGGGAGAAGAGAGTCTGCAGCATTCTCTCTCTCCTCCTCCTCTTCCTCCCCACACCTTACCCCCAGCCCCCTTTCGTATGGACTCAATTGTCAAAAGCAGAGTTTAAACAATGACCATTTCTTGTTGTGCAATTGTGAGGAGGAGGAAAAACTGTCACACTTTTCTAACTTATTGTTTTAAACAAGGCAGGGGTGGGTTTGGGAAGGGCTCACCTTGATAGGTGAGTGACAGAGTAAAATAAGGAAACGGGGAAAGGGTGTGAACAGGTTTGTGGCTGTGCTGCTTGCAATAAGTATCAAGGGCAGCTCTATGCATTATGCTTGGTGTGGGAACCCTCTGCAGAACTCCGGCATCCTCCAACATCCCACGTGAAGCATGTGTGCCTACCTCTGAAACAGAGTGTCTTGGGAAGCCCTCAGGCCCATCTGCTGGGGGAAACAGCCCAGGGATTCCACAGTAAAGGGTGGAAAAGTCCTGACAGACTAGCTCTTCAGACGATACATCCTGACCCTCCACCCTTATGTCAGCATTCAAATGCACCAAAGCCAGTAAATTAGGGCGTGCACCACCCATGGAGTGCTTCACTCAACAGGGAGACATTTGCTCATAAGGCATGCCCAGTGACCAGGTCCTGAGAACGTCCTGTGGATTTTCTCCTCATCCTGTCCTTTCTCTGGGCCTGGCAAAAGTGATGCTGGAGTATGAAGGGAACACAGATTTAGGGTATAAACAGAAGTTGCTCAGTACTGGGGCAGCAGGAGGTCTGTGGACTACAAGGTTCCCCCCACCTCCCAGCTCTTGTTTTCACAGGACTGATGTTCATTAGCAAGATGGCAGGTCTGTGCTATTTAACATTTCACAACACACAAATATACACACACCTCTGATTATACATTCCAGGATTTTGCGTTTACGATGCCACACCGAAGCCAAAGAGCCAGGGCAGCGCTGGCCCTGTTGCACGGTTCTCCAGGCATCCAAAGAGGGCCCAACCCGCAGCAGTAAAGCCCTTTCACAAGGGAGTGAAGGTGAGGCAGTGCAAACACATGTCCCAAATATTGCAATTTTTGTGGGGGGGAGCTAACCATGTGTAGGAAGAACTGAGGACACATTCCTGCCCCCCAGTTGTGTCCATTGTGACATGCAACAATCCATCCTCTCTCTCACACACATGCACACGTGCACACACCCTGCCAGCAGGGAATCCCTACCCCCAACCCCTACCCACACAAAAGAGGCACCAGCGAGGAAAGAAAAATAGAATGAAAAAGAACTCCAGTTCCCCTTGGGGGAAAAAAGCAGGGGTCAGACCAGTGTCCCAGGGGGTTGGCGCTCTGCGGAGTCCGAGTTGTAGGGGCCTGCAGAGTCATCCATGTAAAGCAGCTCCCCAAAAGGTCTGGCCAGGGCATACCAGAGCAAAGGAGGAAAAGAGAGGCAGGGGAGGGAGGGAGGGAGAGGGAGAGGGGGGGAGAGAGAGAGAGAGAGAGAGAGAGAGTAAGAAATGGATTAGACAAAGAGGCAGGCAGAAAAAAGCTTAAAGTAGCAGAAGACATGGATGTGTGGCTCTTTAGAAGTTGCTGCACTGTGACTTCCATCAGCCCCATGCAGCTCAGCTGAGGCATGATGGGAGTTGTAGGCCATCAACACCTTGCAGGCCACATATTCCCCATCCATTCTTTCTGAGTTTTCTGGGTGGTTTTTGTCCACAACAGCCTCAAGCCCCCTTCCCCAGTCCCTCAAATTTGGTCTTCATGCCTTACCAAGAAAAAGATACCCCTCCCCAACCCGACGATCCCTCCATTCCCTCCTTTTCCTAGCTAGCAGGAAAAGGAGGGAACAAAGCAAAAGATCCTTCAAGTGATATAAAAGGGGCAGCAAAGAAACAGCTGAGGCAAACCAAACTCAGCCAAATTGGGACAGGAGCCAAAACCAAAGAGGGATGCAGAAAGAGGGTTAGCATGAAGCGAAGGGGAGGGCTGCATGCAGTTATCTGGGCAAAGGATGGAGTCGTGCCCCATACCTGCCATAGAGCGGCTGCCCAGCATAGCTCACAGAGTGGGGCAGTCCTCCTGGCCCCCCGTAGTAGCCCATCTCCGGGTTGGAGGGCACTGGCTCATAGTAGCTGCGCATCTGCTGGTGTACAGAGAGAAGCGCTCCCCTCCTCTCCGGTGCGGCGCGCTGGCTGACTCCGGCATTTCGCAGGTACCAGTCCCTGAGGCCCTCCAGGGCCAGGGCTTTGTGGAAGTTACGGTGAGGGGGCAACGGGGGGCCGTAACCGACCTCCCGGGGCTGGGGGGGCAAGAGCGGGCCGCAGGATTTCGTGCGGGCTGCTGGCCGGGCTCGGCGCTGCTGGGGGCTCTCAGGAAAGGGCCCCCACTCTGGCTGCGGCAGCCCATCCCTGCGGGACAGGTGCTCACCCCTGCCCCAGCACCTTCGCTCCAGGTAATAGTCCAGAAGCAGGTCGCTGTAGGGCGGGCGGGGGCTCCGGCCTGAGAGGGAAGGGGTAAGGGCCTCAGCACTTTTGAAAGGGGGGCCGGAAGGCAAGGGCGCCTCGTCTGAAGGGGCCCGCTCAATCAAGGCCTCCGAGCTGTTGCTTCGGCGGGTCCGAGCAGCAAAGAGAGAGGCCCGGTCGGCACTCGTGTCACGGCTGGGGGGGCCGAGCTGGGAATCGTGACTGCCTGACCACTGGCGGGGCTGGAGGCCTGGAGCCTCTGACCTGAACAAGACAGAGAGAAGAGACGGAGTCAGTAATTCCAAAGTGGGAGACAAGGACTTACATTCCCTAAGACTCCTGTGCCTCTAAAATACCCACCCACAGAGGAGCACAAGTGATTGCCTGGTCTTGTGCACCTCACTTCCCTCTTAGTCAGCCACCTCTGAGGGGTGATGTGGGGTGCAGCAACTGGAGTGATCCAGGTTCAGTCACCCTCTGAAGAGGTCTCTGCTCTGGATTCCTTGTATCTGCATGTAGAGCTCCAGGGCTTCCCAGATGGTCACACCCCCTTCCCTCCCTCCCAACCACTGATCCTTTGGTCATTTCTCTGCTTTTATGCATTCAGAACACTGAAAATATGTCTCTTCAGAGCTTTATTCTGCAATATGCTGATAATTTTAGGTTGGTGGGATTAACCTCACCACTTTGGTATTCAGCCCCAACCATCACTACAATATGGTCCCCAAAAGCTTATTTCAAATGGAATTTGCCCCTGGGGCAGAAAGACATTCTGTACACCTGTTCAATGTGACTTTGAGACACAACCCCATGCACATTTAAAGAAAAAAGGGCCTTGGAAGTTCCAGCATGCCCCAACCAGCATAGCATAGCTGGCTAGGGCATGCTGGGAGTTGTAAGCCCCTTTCCTTTCTAAACACACATAGGACTGGGCTTTAGGAGTCCAGTGTGGCCAAAAAGCATGACCAGAACAGAGAGTTCAAAGAGAAATTCCCCATAGTGGGAGGGGGAGCTGGGTCACTGCAAGCATTTAAGTACAGAAAAGACGTGCCTGAGCTATCAGAAATTCGCAAGGTGCTGGAAAGAAAGACCCTGTGGCTGCAATCCATAGCTCACTGGATCTTTGGAAGCCAAACCCGTCCTCTCTCCCCACCTGCAAGCCACTCTCAAACATCTCTTTGAATTCCCTGCCTGCACACAGATACCAATGTTCACCTGAAGCCAAGGAAAGGCAAGACAAAGGGGGGAACCTTTATTATTCCCTTCATCTCCTTGCTCTGGACAGATAACAAAGTTCTTTTAACCCAGAAAAATGCACACAGTGCTAGTACAAGAAGCTACCTTGCTTCATTTTGCAAACATTAGTATTGTGCACTAGCACAATCTTCTCCCTCACAGATTCCACCCCCCCCCCCCCACACACAGTTTTACAGCTGGATGGGCAATTTCCAGCCCTCCAAATGTTTTGGCCTGCAACTCCCATCCCTCACCCTTGGCTATACTTCCTAGGACTGGTGGGAGTTGCAAGCTGAGACATTGGGAGGACTACATGTTGCCCAGCAATTTTACAGTCATCCCACCCTGCCTCCATCCCAGTTTCACATCCCACTGTTGACTGGAGGAGACCCAGTGGGCACACAGCTGCCCCTTCCTACCTGAACTGGTGGCTTCCGCTGCAAGCATTTCTGGCTAGCACTGGCGTAGCTGGGACACTCCGGCCCTCAAAGCTGGACACGCTCCTGGGGAGGGTACGGTTTGGACTGTAGAACAGAAGAGGAGTAAGAAAAAGTGCTTTTTTTCTTTTCAGCGCCAGGAGAAAACCTTTTTATTTTCCCATTATTTTAATGTTTAATCGGTTTTAATGTGGTTTATACAATATTGAACTATTGGATGCTGCACTCTATTTTATCTGCTGCTTTCTTGTAAACCATCCCAAGGCACCAGTAGATGGATGGTCTATAAAACCAATGAATGAATGAATGAATGAATGAGCAGATCCTGCACATATATTGTGAATTCTATGTTCCTTGGGAAGAAGCCCCACGGAAGTGAATTTGAGTTACAGGAGCTGAATTATAATTGGTAGGCAGCTCAGCTCTGCTTGCATAGAACACTTAGGGGGCCTTCCATAAGATGCCTCTGCAGCAACCTCAGATCCTCCAGCTGCTTTGAGCTACAACTCCCAGCATTCCTAAAACCAATGGAAGGTGAAGACCAACAGCCTCTTGAAGGCACCATGTTGACCAGGGCTGCTCTACAGACACAGATGGCTACGGAGGCTTCAAGAGCTGGTCACTGTCTTTCTTATTTTGCTAGGAAGAAGGGAGCCATCGTTAAGAGTTGCCATCACCGAGCAGCTTCTCGTTAATAAGAAGGAGATCTCTGCTGGCTGGCAGGTGCCCCTTCATGGTCATTTCTAGCAATAGTGTTCCCACAGAAGAACGTAAGAGGAGCTCTACTGGACCAGAGAAAAACTCCACGCAGTAAACCCTTCCATTCACACAGTGGCCAACAAGATGAGATGCCCCCAGGCAGAGTTTCCTCTTTTCCCTCAAAGCAACTAAGGAAAATTAGCTGTTATTCCCTCAACTTGGCTTACATATGAGACAATAAAGCCCTGAGGCAGATTGTACAGTTTCAGACTGCCAGGTTGGTATTACATTTTTGGACACTGCTCAGCGTTAAAAAGAGCGAAAAATAATGCCCCTTGGAGCTAGAACACATTTGCATTCAAGATTTTGGCCAGCTTACTCTATTTTGTCACCACTTTTCTATGGATGGAGAGTTGTTGTTTTTATTGTGAATAAGCTTGAAAAAAAGAAAAAAAGGTTCTTTTTTTCCCAAATGAAGTATTTCCAACCCACTCATCAGCCAAAAAGTTCCCAAAGCAGTTTACAAAACATCAGGTAAATGAAACATACTAAAAGGGGCTCATTTACTTCCAGCTTCAAGTGGTACATCCACTCTACCAACCTTCTTTGCTACCATGTATCAACCAGGCCTGTATCCTTGCAAGGACCTCTCTGAATGTCAGCAGCTAACTTTTTTCCTCATCTCCACTTAGCAAATGGACACATTCGTGCTTAGCAAATGGACACATTCGCACACACACTAAGGTGAGGAAGGAGGCCGAGCTCCCCGATGTCTCCTGCTCACCTGGTAGGGCTGGCCACAGAGTTCCTACGGTCTTTTGTATCACTGTATAGATCTGGCTGCAAAAGGCGCCATCCTGGCCGACGGTCGGGGCTGCTGGAGATGGCCCGGAGGTGATCGCGGGCCTTAGGGGGTGAAGGTCGCTCAGAGAAAGTCCCCTGATGGTTGGAGACTTTGGAAGGATGGAAGCTGTGTGGGTCGTCTAAGGACAGAGCACAATGCATAGGATAGAAGCAGCCACAAACCCCTGCCTCGGCAAAAACACAAAAAATAAGAACAGATAGTCCAACAGTTCTCCAAATTTAGACTTTTTCTTGGAATGGGCAACCTCTGGCCCTCCCTGTCTTTTGGCCTACAACTTCCATCATCCTTCACCTTTGGCTACACCCAGTGCTTTCAAAAAAAAAAAAAAAGGTGCCGGAACTCATGTCACCGCCAGCAGTAAGCACTCAGCGCGCGACCACACACACCAATCCCAAGCCGAGCAGCGTCCCAAGCCGGGTGGCGCGGACACAAAAGCCGCCCGCAGGCACTACGTTCATGATGTTTGCTGCAGACCTGCTATGCCAACAGGCAATTCAAAATCACCTTGTAAAATCCATTGGAAAAAAAGGTGCCGGAATGCCATTCCGGTGCATTCTATGACAAAAAAAGCCCTGGCTACACCAGTTAGGTCTGATGAGAGTTGAAGACCAAAGCCTTCCAGTAGGCCACAGTTGCCCACTCCTGCTTTAGACACACAACTTGCTCTTGGTAAAACTTCCATGTGTAGCATACACACACACCTAATGCAAGGGAGAAAGAGTTATAATGCTGACCTTCTGCCAAACATGCTACTTTTAAAATGTAATTTATTGTGAGGGAGAGTATTCCATTATGGAAGTGTCCCCTTCCATCTGGAGTGGCTTCCTTGATCTGTGACAGCAACTTTGACACCAGAAAACTCAAGACTATTGCCCACTTCCCACTTCTCACCTTCTGCATTAGATCCTTCCTGTCCTTGGAATCTTGTCCATCATGGAAGCCAAGTACCCTGGCCCCAGATCAGGGCTGAATGTCAATTCATTCATAGATACAGGGTTCAATTGTATACTGTCTTTCCAGTATAAAAGTGGTGGAATGTGACTTCCAAGTCCTCTTCCCCGCTCCATGCAGCCCCCGCACACATCTGGGGGATGTGCAGGGGACTGACAGGAGGAATGAAAGAAGAGACTTTGTTCCACTGGCAGAATGACAACCTTGGATCCATCCTTATTCTCAAACCTGCACCATATTTACCCCTCAGATCAGGCATTAATGGAGACTCCATGGTCCAAAACCAACACACATATGGAGCATTTTCACTATTGGCTAGCAAACAATTGGCTCTGAGATATACATAGTGTCTTACCTCCTCTCTCTGTATACATTACAAATTAAAGGCCAAAGACCCCCTCTTTAGATAAAGGCTTTTTTTAAAGCTTGTTCCCATTCACTATTATTTAACACCACTAACCCCCCTTCTTTGATCTGGGGAAGAAATCCAAGGGCCATGGACCACACTTACCATTTTCATGGCTGGCTGATTCGGAGAGGGAGCTGCTCTCTGAATGAAAAGCTTCTTCTTTTTTTGGAAGGAAGGAGAAAGAATAAAGGAGGGACAGATGAGAAACTGGTATGTGATAATCACTGGAAAGCCAGTGTGGCATAGTGCTTACAGTGCTAGACGTGGAAGATTTAGATTCTTGTCCTGACTCAGCCATGAAGCTGACTGGGTGACTTTGGGCCAGTCTCTCTAAACCTAACCTACCTTACAGGGTTGTTGTTGCAAGGATAAAATGGAGAGGACTGTGCAACCTGTCTTGAGTTTCTCACGGGAGGAAAAAAGGCAGGATATAAGTGATGATGATGATCATCATCATCATCCTGATTGGTGGGAGTGCAGGGTACATTTTTTGCCACTTGTTTAGTATAGCTTGAATAGGAGAAACTATTAGCTCCTCTAAGGTCTCACCCAACAAGACGGAAAGAATAATGGATAATTCACTTAGGGGAGGGGGAGTCCCAGGACTGCGGGGTGTGGGTATTCCTTCCAGTGAGCTCTGTCAACATGTTCCAAATCTGCACTGATCCAAATCCCACTGCAATAAGGCTTTAAAATAAACATGGAAGCCTATTATTACCATTTATTTCCTTTCTGTACCCCCGCAATAGCCACTCTCTGGATACTTCACAGCAATTCATAAAACAAGTACAATAATAAAATAGAAAATAAAATGCAAATATAATAATAAAATACAAATACAATTCAAAAATACAATATATAAAATTTAAAACACTTTGAAGAGCTAAAACCATTTCAATAAAAACTAGACCTGTTAAGGCAGGCAATATATGCTACTAAAAACTGGAAAACAGGAGGAATTCTTAACCTGAAGATATGACACTACCAGTTCCAGGTGGGCTGTAATCATTCCGTACCTGGGGCCCACCACTAAGAAGGCCCTCCTCTTCACCACTACCCTCTGAGCCTCCCTTGCTTCCTCTATAATTCCCATGCTCCTTGTCAACATCTTTGAGCTATACCAACAAATTCATCCAAGAAAACCAGACCAGACCACACTTCACGAACCTCCATCTGATATGACCTCTATGATGCTGGAGTTAGTTGCAGCAAAGGCAAGAAATATTACCCTGGAAGTACCTAGCAAGTATTTTCATTACATTTACATTTCTATACCACCCATAGCCGAACCTCTCTGGGCAGTTTACAACCTTAAGTCACCCATCCAGATTTCAACCAGACCTGACCCTGCTTAGCTGCCAAGATGAGGCAGGATCAGGCACATCAGGCCATACAGAAACTGTTACAGCGGGCCTAGGATGGGTCTATGGTGTCCTTGCTGTTTTAGGTCTGAATGACCCTGAAGAGCTCTGCTGTGCAGCAAATGGAAGACTAAATGGAGAGTGAGAGGTTGCCTCTTTACTGCCCCTGATTACAGTTAGGTATCAGGACTTGATTACATCTATTCTCCAATGGCACTCAGACATAGAAACATAAAAACAGAGTGAGTCAACAAGGGGCCTCCCTGGCCATCCAGTCTGATGCCCAGCTCTAGCCAGTTCCACTTATGACATGCCTACCATGTGCATGTCTAGACTATCCTTGATAGAAACATAGAAACAGAGCGACCATCTCTTATTTTGTTCCATCACTCCCACCTCTCAGAGCCATACAAGCTCTATGCCAGAGAAGATGCCCAGGTCATCTGTGCATTCCAGAGAATGACCAATGTTTCAATAGGACCACCAGCCATATACACTAGAAACCCTCCCTACAGCCCTCTGAAAACCACCTGAATTCAATATCCTCTTGGGGCAGACCATCTTAATAGGATCCATATCTTTGCAGAGGGGAAAAGCCACCATCAATCCAAACCTCAGTAAGTGATGATCTGGCCATGACAAAGGGGTTGAATTGAAGTCCCCCACCTTCAACTCACCAGCCCAATGGCTAGCAGAAAAAACATGGCTAGGGAACACCCTGCTACTGTCATGGAGACCAAGCCATCCCAGACAAGGTGCTCTCAGCATGAATGCTGACATCCTCCAAAACAAACAGCCTGAGTGAACTGCAGCATCACTCATGAGACCTTCCGTGGAGAGTCTGCTGGACAGGGTGGTACACCAACAGACTCCCTCACCTGGCCTGGTGGCCCAACCCAAGATACAAGCTCCAGGCCCGTGATCAAGCGGCCTGCTGAGAAAGAGAGAGGAGACAGAGATTGCAGCCTGTGGGGCAAGGCCTATGAGAAAAAGGCAGGATGAGGGGGAGAGAGGGATGGGGTGGGAAGCATGAAAGAGAGAGGAAAGCAGGGGAAAGGAGAGAAGGGCAGAACAATTTACAAAGGGAGGAGAGAGGAATAACAAAAGGGGAGGATGAGCAAAGAGCATCCAGCCCCACCCACATGTGGCTTTGTTGTTACCCACCACTGGAATGCACCCCTCCCTGCCAGATTTCCCCAGACACTGGAACTCTTGGCCGGTGGCTACGCCTTCTCCACTCCTACTGGCTCCCCGAGGAATGGCAGTCCCTTCCCAGTACTGCCTGTGTTGGGTGGAGGATGAAGCCGAGTTTTGAAACGAATAATCCCAGGGGATCAACAGAGACTGCAAAAGGAGAAGCATTGCTGAAGGAGTGAAGCGTTAGGGGTGCCGAGAACTCACAGAGGGAAGCAGGGCGTCCTAACTCACCATGGCCACCCCTCTGCAGGGGCCCTTTGCCCAGCCGCAGCCGGCACTCCAAGACCTGCACCTCGAGCTCCCGAAGGCGCTGAGCAGCATCCGTCTGGACTTGCTTTCGGCGTCGGCGCTGCTCTGCAGTTAGGTCAGGGGCAATGGCAAGACGCCGGGCAGCCTCTGCCATCTGCTGCTGTAGTGCCAACTCACACGTCAGCTCCTCCAGGGAAGGTGCTTCCTGGAATAGGTCAGAAGCCCTGTGAGGATCACCCCTAAAGTTCTCAAGCTGTCTCCTCCTCTTATGAGTGCTCCCCCCACCAGCTCCCCCTCTCCCCCCTCCCTCTCGCACACAGCTTGTCACCCACCTCATTCATTAGGGCAGTGGAAATTCGGCAGGCAATCGCTGGCCTCCTCCGCACAGGCTGGGGTCTTTCTCCTGGTTCCAGTGGATACTCTGGTGGCAATTTTCCTGTCAGCTCCTGGTATAGGGGAGGGGAGGAAAGCTGCATTCATCAGTACTGCTGGGGCGGGGTGAGGAATCCAGAACTGAAAATAGGTGTGTCTGAGTATCCTGCTCCAAGTTTGCATAAAATGTGTTCTGCAGTGAGGGTCCTGGCTGAATTCAAGCTGCTATGTATTAATATATACTAGATAACAGGTTCGTGCTTCATTCAGATATACTGTTGTTTTAGATTCAATGTACTGAATGCAACCTATTTGCTGTGTTACTTGGGTTTTTGTTTCATTTTGGTTAACAGGTTGTTGGTTTGCAACTTGTAAAAACCTCCCTGAAATGGACCCACCGCACCATACATTCCTCTTTCTGCTATGTGCTTCAAACTTATTTCCAAAAAGTACAGTATAGCAAAGCACAGAGTGGGGCCTCTTTAGTGGCAGAAGCTACTTACATGATGGAAGGGTCTACCTAAGAAAGCTCCTCAATTCCTTTTCTTAACTGTATTTCAGTGCAGGATGAAGACCTACACTGCTTCCAAGCCAATCCCAGCTTCACTTTTTAATTGCCTATTCAGTCCTTGTCAGGCTTTGTTCTTTACTTAATCACATATTAGCAACTTGCCTGTTTAAAATTCAGATTCTGTGTTCTGAAAGATGGCAGGCAACTTTATAGATTCCATAACAACCATTTACATCCAGGGTGGCCAAAAGGTAAATAAGGAGCTACAGAAAGACCTGCAGTAGATTGGCAAGGACTCCTGGCTCCTAAATAACCACCTCAAGTGAAGAAAGCATGGGAGAAGCAGGAGTGATTTTTTGTGTGGAAGGGTTTGGGAGCTTGCTTTGTTTTGATGAGGAAGGATTGTGAGTTCCATCCAATTCTGAGCTCAGAATTCTTCAGAGTGCAGAGCTCCTTTGGACCAGTCTCCAGATGGTGGATCTTGGGGTTCTACAAAAACAGGTCCAGCCAGTGCAGAGTCTGCCCACCCCTGGCTTGAAGTGTCCCCACAGCACTTCACCGCACCAGTTTGTCCTGGCAGCAGCCTGCCTGAGCTCCAGCCTGTGCCTGCAATGAATACTCACTGCTTCTTGCAGACAGACCCGGCGTAACTCCTTAAGACGTAGGCTGAGCACCTGCTGAAGTGACCGCTGCTTCTCTAGGAGTTCTTGCACACGTTCCAGCCGAATTCGGGGACAGACATCCCGCTGCAAGGCCTCTGCAGAAGAAAGAACGGAGGGTTAAGGATCACTGGAGGCTGCAAGTCATCAATTCAACAGTCACTGGATGCAGAGACAGGAAAGGAAGGTAAGCAGTGGGGAAAGGCACTGGACTGGTGGGAAGAAGAAACCGGTTGTGGGACAAGGAGTCAGTATACAATGGAAGAAAGGAAGTTACCTGAAGAGCTGTAGCTGGTTGAGTTCATCAGCTGCCCCTTCACCTCCATGTCTGGGAGAGATCGGTTTGTCTCCTGCGTCAGAGGGTAATTACTTTGATCAAAGACCCATCAGGAACTCCCAGACAGGGGACCTCAGTTGGCTACTGTCACAGGGAGACAAAGAGACAGGTAAGAAGGGGGTGGCTCCTGCAGACACAGGCTGGTGAGCATCTGCAGAGGACATGATGCTGCAGAAAAAAAGGAGACCTGCTTGAACTCTACAGAGGGCATGCATTACCACAAGCAGAAAGGCAGGGGCCGAAGAGACACCGCAAACCAAAGGCAGCTGCCGTCCCAAGGAGGGTGGGCCGGCTGCCGAACCAAGAGGTCATGGGGAGAATCTGCATAAGGTTAGGCAAACTGGGCCCAGAGGAGGGCCAGATGCCCACATTCTTTCTCTGGACTGTTTCCTCCTCTAGACCCAAGAGTTTAAACTACCAAGGAGGATTCTTTTTTTCCTCAGCATGGCTGAATGGTGATACCAGAAGCTGGCAAGGCTACAGCCAACATTGCTGGGCATCTCCATGCCACATGGAGCATTGCAAAGTCTGTGCATGGCATTTGGAGGGGAGATCTGGCAGCAAAGCTAAAGAGAGCCTGATCTTTTGCCCAAGGGATGCCGGACCTGCCAAATTTGTGGCACCAACACCTCCAGCTAAAGGTGAATTTTTTCAACAAAAGATCATGGGTGGGGGGAAATTGTTCCCTGCTGAGAACATGCAATCTTCCCATGATCTTGAAAGGTTAGTAATTGCAGCTACAGATCCTTGTCAAGGGAGGTGATGCAGAACTTCAGGCATGGGGAGTGGGGGGAATTCCTCCCTCCCAGCCATGCCCACTTTCTTTGGCCTCTTCCCCACCTTTTGGTGGTCCCCTGCCATGTGTGCAGCTTTTCCCTGCACTCAAAGGCTGAAATTCCTCTCCTAAAGCTTAATTACTGGCAGTTAAGAGTTGTAAGCTACAAGATACTGGTACTCTGACCGCCCCCCCACACACACACTTCTCCAAAATGGAATTTGGCTTTTGGGCTGAAGGATGATCAAGCCTCCTGCCTTGGGGGCAACCAGGAGAGGCTGCAGACCCCCATCCCATCCCTCGCATGCTACCAGGTGAAAGGTAATCTCAGCCTCTCTTTCCCCTCACTGCCATTGCCATTCCAGTGCCTACCCATAATCTGCTTGCACTCAAGCACAAGGAGAGAATGAAAAAGGTAGGGGGCCTGCTGGATGTGGGGTTCCCAGGCTGCCAAGTCAACAGGAGGCTGGGAATGGAGACTCCTGGCACCTACGGGGTTCAGCTTCAACAGGCTGGGAGCGCTGACGTGTGCAGGACCAGCAAACCTTCTGGACAGGCCTTTGTGGGGCACCCTTCTAAAGCATTAGCTTTCTGGCTAGCTTTGGCTGGTGCATGAGGTAAGCCAGTAACTGCTGGAGTACCCCTCATCGTTAACCCGCCAACCCGCCAACCCGGGGTCTAGTCCAGCCTTTCCCATCCCAGGTCCCTCCAGATCTTGCAGACTACAACTCCCAGCAGCTCCAGCCAAAGGGTGTCAACTGATGATGAGAGCTGCAGAGCAAACATCCATTGGCACATGCACCTAGTAAGCCCAAGAATGCTCACTCCCAAGAACAGGGAGGCAGGGCAAGCAGCAATTACATTTTATTTGTTTCAACTTCCTTCTCAGTAGTTAGGCTTACCCAGGGCTTTTTTTGTCACAGAACGCACCGGAATGGCATTCCGGCACCTTTTTTTCCAATGGATTTTATGAAGTGATTTTGAATCACCTGTCGGCTAGCAGGTCAGCAGCAAACATCATTAACATAGTGCCTGCGGGCTGCTTTTGTGTCCGTGCTGCCCGGTGCTTGGCTTGGGATTGGTGTGTGTGGTTGCGCGCTGAGTGCTTACTGCTGGCGGCGACCTGAGTTCCAGCACCTTTTTTTTTTTTTTTTAACAAATAAAGCATTGGGCTTGCCTATTATGTATAGTTTGAAGCATTCCCAATTTATACAACCATTTGCATATATTATGTTGATTGAAGTAATTTAGGGTTGTCCTGGTAAGTAAACAGCCCCAGCTCTTCTGAGCAACTGGGGAAAAAAAGATAAAACATACCTGTGTTTAAGAATACCCAGTTGCTTCTCCCCTACACCTGAGGCTGGCTCAAGGCCAGCACCCTCCCAAGTCCACCCACACCCAACTTTCCCTCCCCTGCCCTCATCCCCCAGATGGGAAGTCTGGGGGCAGTGAAGCGGCTGGCCAGCTCTCTATTTTTGGGCTGAGGCCAAAGCCCACAGCTGTTTCCCTGTGAGACCAGATCAAGGCTAAGCCTAGCTGGGAGTCTAGCTATGTAACGGATTCTCTCGGTTACATAATGGATCCCAGCCACCACAGAGACCTGTATGAATCACATCAGGAACAATGCCCATGCCAGGTAGAACAGCTGCAGGAAGCTTCCCCTGCCTGTTCTTGAGTGTTGCAGCGCAAAAGCTGCCATCTTGGTACCAAAGATTCATTTCCCTTTTGACACACATCTAATACTTTTCATACACACACCCCCACACAGGGCATGGCCAAATGTGAGTCCAGACAGCTAACACCTGCACACGCACAATTGTTGCTTCCACATGTCCACGAGCAGATCAATCCTGCTACACCCCTGCAGAACAAGACAGGAGCAGAAGCAGACGGACAGGCAATCCCGATTGCATCTCTGCCACTGGCAATCTCTCTTCCCTCTCCCCTCCCCTCCAGCCAATTCCTTTTCCATGACTGTTCAGTGTCAACACCTCCCTCTGTACCCCTCCCAGCCACCGCTGGCTGCCTGTTCTCAGGGAGTGGATAAGCAAGGTGGCCACTGAGACGCAGGACAGAAAGCAAAGCTGCCATTTAGGCCTCTCCGTAAAAACATGCACACTTGCCAACAACAACCTGTGCCTGGGAAACCAGAACTGAGAATACATTACACAAAGAAAATCAATCTCCACCTATCTAACTACTTTGCACAGGTTACTCTGCCATGTGCCATGGGGCCCAGGGCAAAGAGGGCTGGCTGATGTTCAGGTCACAGCCTAGTTTACCTCCAGATTCAGGACTTGGTGGCCTTTTCACAAGGGACCATTAACTAGAGAGGGGAGCAGAGGGCTGTGCATGCAAAATGCCCTGAGTTCAGTCCCTGAAGTCTCTGGGAAGGGCAGCAAAATGCCTGTGTGCAAGCTGGGAGAGCCACTACTGAGCCAGATGGATCAAGGGCCTCACTCCATACACAGCAGCCTCCCAGATCCTTCTAAGGACAAACAGGGAGCAGGCCCCAGAACTATTCGGTCTATTCAGGCACCTGTCCCGTCTTCTCATTTCTGAAGATGACCCTGGGAGAGCCCCAATTCTCACTTTGCTAAGGGCAAGTGGCATTCAGTGTGAGTGGCGACAGCCTGGGCTTCTTCAGTGCCCATGGGGCTACCTACCAGCTCATGTGTTTGAATGATGTGCGCACAAAGGAGCCACCTGCACCAGGTTGTCCTTTGTTCGTTTTTCTCAACTCAGGTGGCCGGATAGCTCCTGCTGGTCCAATTTCTCCACAAACATTTCCCCCTAAAAACATGAGCTGTGACTGTTTCCCTTCTATGGGGGCAGGGGAAGCTGAGATTTGAACAGAAGCCTGCCAGGATCCAAAGTATCTTTATCCCCAACTCATTCTTGCCAGAAGCAACTGAAGACCGAGACTTGGAGAGATGCGACAAGGTAAGCATCTGAACGGGAGGGCAGACAGAGAGAGAGAGAGAAGAGCATATTTTATGAGCTGAGCTTGCAATGCAGAGACAAAGTTCAACAGGTGGAGCCCTTCTCCGGAAATCCTTGCAATACCTGGTCACGTCATCTCAGCTGGCAGCCCAAAGCAAAGGTTCACCTAATCCCCAGACAAGAGTCAAGCTGGGCAGGACAGAACACATCCTCCCAGAGTCAGCAAGGTAGCAATTTCATGCTGCCCTTCCACCCACTGCCCTGCCTCTCTGAAGCTATTAATTTTCAACTTGGGATGATCTCTCCACGTCTTGAGCACACGATCTCTGGCTTCCAAGACAGGGCTCGGCTTGAGTACAGGCTCACCCAGGGGCTCCTTTTCAACACTTGGGAGGTGCAGCCCTGAGCACAAGCAGCAGTATGCAGAGACAGCACCCCTGAGCATTCACGGACATGGACACGCTACCTAGAACCCGCCATCAGCTTCCTTACGTGTGATTTGAGGCAGGAGCTGTCAAGCTAAAAGAAAGAGCTCCCAGGGCAGCCTTGGGCCCCAGCACCTCCTGCCTCAGGGCAGGCTTAGGCCCCAGCACCACATGTGCCACACAGTTTTAGTCTTTCTCCTGTCTCAGGTGCCCAGGCCCGACTCACAAGCTTGAAAATCAAACCCAGGTGTTCTCAGCTTGGTAGCCCAAGTTCAATATTTTGTTGTGGCAAAAGGGACAATGCAGAACTTCCCAAATGTTTTCACTACTGATCAGAGACTCCACCCTACCCCCCACCATCCAGACTGCTTACCTTTTTTTTAGGAGAACCCCACCCTTAAAGGAGTTCTGAGCAGCATGCACGGCACTTCCCTGATTTGGTTATCCTCACAATCCTGAGAGGTAGGCTAAGCTGCCAACATGGACCAAGGTCACCTTGTGAGCTTCAAGGCTGAGGAGCATTCAAACTCAGATCTCCCCAAGCCTATCCCAGCACCCTAGCCTAGAAGTAGACAACCAAGTTCTCTCCAGATAGGTGAGACTATCACTTGCATCAGCCCCAGCCAGCCAACAGAGGGTTGCAGGTTACCCACCCCTGTTTTAGGACAGCCCTGCAAGGTAGGAATCACCAGCATCCTCTCTATATTGCAGATGGGAATTTAAAGACAAGAGAGGGCAGCTGGCCTAAAGCCACTAACCAAATTTGTGGCAGGGTCAAGATTCAAGCTGGGGAGTTCTCAACACATAGCTCAGTTTCTTAGGCCACTGCATGATCCAGCTGTATATAAAATTCACAAATGAAGTTAATTCAGTGAAGGTGTGGAATACAAGTGGCACCAGCATTATGTTTTAAATGCCTCAGAAAGGAGGCATCTGGGATTAATTCCAGCCTCTTTTTAAGTATGAATACAAGATAACAAACACTCATAGTAGCGTTTGAGTGTCTTCCCTCCTGATATTTCTCTCTCTCACACACCCCTAATTGTGAGAAATTCCACTATAAAAGAACAGACTGAAATATTCGGTAAGCTTCCTTTAAAAAGTATTTGTCTGTTGGATGTTGTAAGAACAGAACAAGTGGAGCGACTCACCTTGCAATCCAAGGTGCACCCGCACACGCAGGAGCCCGGGGCAGAGAACTCCAATTCTAGCCCACAAACTCTCTTAGGAAATCGAAACCACATTTTCCCTAGAAACACGGCCGCTCCTCCTCCCCGCCAAGCCTCTCTTGGTACTTTTTGCCTCTGCAACCTGCAGCTGAACCGCCCCCTCCCTCCAAAGTTTGCACGCGCACCCGCAACATACTGGGGTTTCAGCCGGGCGCGCAAAGCTACCCGTGCGCTGAGGAGGCGGCCTGACCCCCACCCCACCCCAGGAACCAGGCGGGGGGGGCGACTCCGGATTGGAAGCTCACGGGAGACCGAAGACCAGCCTCCCCGCGACCCCCTGACTGACCAAGCCGTCCGCCGTGCGGCTCCAATACCAGGAAACAAAGCAGAGCGAAAAGGCTGGCTACTCGCTCGGGAGGAGCTTCTCCTTCGACGGAAAGAGATCGGAGGATTTCTCGTTATCATTTCGACTTTCTTCAGAAGCAGATCTGCGCGCCCACCAGCTGGCCTTACAAAGGGGCAGTTCAAGGGAGCTTCTGCAAACTTGCTCAAACTTTGGCGACCGCAGCTTTCCCATGCACACACCCGCCACCTCGCCGGATCCAAAAGTGCAACTTAGCCCCCCTCCTCAAAAAAAAAAAAAAAAAAAGATAAGCCACTCACCCTCCGCCTTTAATTTAATCTGAGATCCACCGCCCCGACTGAGGGTCGGGAACCGCAAGGAGCCCCGCTCCCGAAACCGCCCAGCTCCCCTACTGGGCAAAACCAAAGTGAGCTGCGAAGGAGGCGGCGAATCAACCTCCGGAGCAAAAAGCGAGAAGCGGGGAGGGGCCACGCCTTTAACCCTCGCCTGGCCTGCCAAATGCACGCGCACCGTTGTGCTGGATTCTGGATTTACAAAAGGACGTAATTTAGCTTTGGGGTTCAGGCCTGCACTCTTGGACGAGGAATCCCCTCTTCAGTCATCTCAGGAAGGTGAGGGAAAGCTACGATGAGGAGGAACTCTTCGCATGCTCATGTTCATGTGCTTTCTCTGATTTTTCTTATCACTCAGAAATGCTCTAGCGTTTACTATTCCTGTTGGTACAGCCAGAGAATTTAAACCATAGACTGAATGGTCTTACATGGGAGTGGAGCATTAATCGACTAGCTGTTTTAGTTCCATATTTATTTGCTCACCAGTATTTATATCCCACTTAGATCTACTGATTTCATAGTGGTGTATACAAATCATTAAAAATTAAAAACACAGAAACTATCATACCTACACGTGCATAACATGATAGGCTACACTACTAAGGGAAGGTGTGCATAAAAAGACACATCTTTAGCATGCAGCTAAAAATGAAAAGTGCTCATGTGAGAGGGAACATAATTCCAGATGCTGTGGCCACAAATGACTCTGGAGCAGAGCTCAGTACTGTGAAGTTCAGAACTCGTATTGCTGTTCTCCCCTCACCAAGCTCTGCACCTATCCATGCTCTACAACTGCATCTCAATTCCTGCCAAAAATGCACCCCAACATTATGCTGCGGCCCTGACTAAAAATGTGTGCATCTGGGCATGTGCAGTTTTGCCTTCTCGAATCACTTCAAATGTAGCACCAGTGTGACTAAGGGAATGAAGTGGAGTTTGCTTCTGCTGCAGGTACCCACGTCACCTGCTAATCTCTGGTAATTCGTGGGGAGGACGACCCTGAGCTGTAGAACATTGGCCACCAGATCCAGCTCTGCCACACTGCTGATTCTTGCATCACGTGTTCTACTTTTGAGGACACAGTGCAACCATTCCATCTTTTCTTACTTAACTGTAAGAAAAAGATGGAAGTGGTGCAAAAACAGCCGCAGGATGAGTGGACATCTCCCTAGGATTCCAGGGCAATCACAGCAGAAAAACCTCATCTGAAAGTGCCCGACAGAGTTTTGAGAACAAATAGTTCCTTCCTTCCGCTCCCTAGCTAAAGCTCATCTTCTCGTCCTCCAGAAGGGGCCAGCAGCAGTTCCATCGCATCCACGGGGAAGGGGCACACACCCTATTAACATATGCAGCAAGCTCAAAAATCTGGGCACACGCAAGGCAATCTTCCAGCAAAAATGGGCGCGTAAACACATCTAGCCACCCATGGATAGGCAGAGAAATAACACACGCTGTCATCACAGGCATGTGACGAAATGCAGACGCGTCAGCCTAGAAGCCCCTCACAAAGCAGCATGCTAATCCTTGCTCCCAAACGCACGCACACACCCAAACTCAGGAACACACATAACCTCCAGCTGCATGGAGACAAAGACCGAAGGCTGCGCCTCCCTGTTTGTTTATTCCAACACACATCGAGTTCAAGCATCTGGTTCACACACCAGCTTCCTGGCATACTCGGGTGATACTCAGAAATGGGAATGCAACAGTTGCACTGAGAATAGTCTTTTAGAAAATCCCCCAGTCGAACAGCTTAGCACATCACTATCACCCATGTTCGTAGCTCTTATTTCATGACTTTAGAGGGAAGAACTATGCCACGTATATGCAACAGGAAGTGACAGATTGAGGTGGCAAGTTTGTGGACTGGGACCATTTCAGGCTGGAGGTAGGAGGCATATTTTGTCTGCTCTCCCACATAAAGAGCTACCTAGAGGAGAGGGTTGTGCTGATGCGGGAGTGTCCTATATGGGGTGTAGGCCTTTTTGACGTGCATTGAAAAAGAGTCCCTTCCCCACTGCAGACTGAAGTGGTACAGCCCTGCCATTTTGTATCTGAGTAGCATGGGTTTGGTCTACAAATGCAAGAAAATAAGGCAGAAAATCCCTGTGCAACAATGTCAGGATGCAAAAGTGCTTATCTAAATGCATTCTTGCATTTCTATTTTTTTGCAGGAATAATAGCAGCAAACAGGTCAAAAGTTTCTATCTAGTCCTCTCCCCACATTTGTTGTGCTACTTACAGGAGGAGGGTGTTTTACACTTCAGAAAACATTCAGTTATGCTATCCTAAAGTGATACCGTCTGTTTTTTCCATTTTAGGATCCCGCCACCTCTTTCTGCTGTAGCTGTAGACCAGGCTTTGAAGAAAACTTCTAAATGGTTGGATACCACAGCACTGAGCCCAAACCAGCAGCTTGGTTTTCCAGCACCACACTCATCATATCGTACCCTAGGAATAGAAAGTCACCAGGCCCCCTTGATGCAGACCCTGCGCCCTCTTTGATCCTGTGGCTTTGGGACAAATGATTTATGTTAAAAGCGGGAGGCAAGGTGGCATTAAGAATATTTGAAATTTTTGTAACAATCTACACACTGAAGAGATTTCTGCCCCTCATGCTACATATTCCTTCCCAGTGCTAAATCCCCCCTGCCATTTCCCCTTTCTAAATATATGATCAGAATATACACATTGGTATGTATAAATAACATGCTGAATAATAACATGTTATTTAAATAAATAAACAACAATGCTGAATTGTTTAATATGCAAGACACTCACTGACCTGACATGGGAAATTTTATGCCCTTTATCACCAACTGCACAATTGGCTGGGATGGCAGGAAGAGATCCTTTTATGGTAAAAGCTCAACAATTGTACAAACAAAGGCAAACATATTCTTAAACATGGGTGTCTTTCTACATGTAAACACACTCTTTTATCACCTGCACCTTCAAAGGGGTAACTGGGTTATTCTGCTGTAGCAAAGAAAAGGAAAAAGAAAGAAAAGCAGCAGCAGAACACATCCTACTGGGATGACCATCCATTGTATACGGTCTCTTCCTCAGAAGCTTACTTCTGTCAAAGCTTATGCCAGAAAAAACGGGTTCACCTTAAAGCTCACAGACCCCGTTTGTTCCCGCATGAATGCAGCCACCTTTTCCTTCCACAAAGACTCCCAGGCAAAGGAAGGGTTAATTCTCTCTTCTCCCCACAGCCCCCTTTCCATACTCTACCCCGTGCCGCCACCCCTCCACCCCAAGGGGATGGTAGAGGCCAGCTCTAGGTACTGCTGCGGGTAGTGTTTGTCTTAGCCTGGGATGAGATCAGATCAGATTCCGCGCATTCCTGGCTCCCTGCCCTGCAGGTAGGGAAGGAAAGCGAGCGCTGCGAGAACCATCCCGAGACTGACCCGCCGCCCGGCCGCCCTGATCCGGTCCTGGCAGCCTCGGGCGCCACCTAGCGGCTGTTCCAAGCCTCCCAAGTAGAAGGTGAGGGAAGCTCGCCGGCAGCTTCTCAGAAATCGCCTGACCAGGGCGTAAATTTCCGCCAGTGGTCCCCAACCTTCTGGGTCACGGGGCCGCATTAGAGCGCCCAGTGCCTAAAGAGGGACACATCATCAATCAAGAAATAACAACATTATTATCCTACCGATTTAGATCAAAAGTAAAGCATTCAGTGGTCAATGAAGAAATGTTAAGTTGATTGCAATCCATTTTGGATCAATATTTTACCATGGAATCCTTTTATCTAGCTGTACATGCCAATCTAGTCAGTATGATTTTTGTGGCTGTTAGCCAAGGCATTCGTGTCCAAGTCAAGGTTTGCGACAGACACCCTTAAAATGTCATGTAAATGTTCATCTGTAAGTTCTGCCCTACACTTGGATTTCACAGTTTTCATCTTGGAAAAGGTTTGTTCACAGATGTATGTGCTGCCAAAGTCTGTGAACATGCCTGAAGCAAATTTCTTTAGGTTGATAAATATATCAGGAAGACTGGAAGAGAAACCTAACAGGCTTTCTTCTCTGAAAATGTCTATGAGATGATCACTGGTTTGCAAATCAATTAGTATCATCTGAAAAAAATGTTACTGTCATGTTCTGGTGCTACTTCAAATGGATTCTGAAACATTCTTAGTTCCTTTCCATGCTTATGGCAATCCATGAATGTGTTCTGGAATTCCACCTGCAATAGTTTCAGTGCCTTGATGTCTTTCAACATTGAATTGTACATTTTTATCCTTCTCAAATTTTAGTTAATTGCAGCACAAGAAGGTTGAAAAGTTACTTTCATCAACTTGCTCCAGAAAAAATATAGTTTTGCTTCAAAAGCTTTCAATTCAGAGTACATGTCACAAGCTTTCCTTTTCCCTGCAATCTTACATTCAATGTGTGTAGATGCTCTCTAAGAAAGCCAAATAAAAAATATATCCAAAGTCAGAAAGTACTTCTTGACCTTTTCCTTTCTCCTTGAGAAAGACATCAACTACATGAAGAAGAATGATTTGAGGACTTTGCCTCTGCTAAGCCACCTGACTTCTGCATGGTACAATACATTTCCCTATTCTGCATCTATTCCTGAAAGAAAATTTTGAAACTGATGATGAGTAAGGCCATGATGCCTGATGTAATTAATGCTGGATAAAAACAATATTCATCACACTTTCCCACTGAAGAAGCTTACTACACAAGGCTTGCTCATGGATGATGCAGTGAAATTGCTTGGGAAGTGTACGGTTTAATTTCAAGGTTTCTTAATTGATTCTTGCAGCCACACCAGTTTTACTTCCCACCATATTTCTTGCACCATCAGTTCTGATGCTTTCCATTTATCCCAGCTCAGAGTAAGATTTTCTACTGATCCACACCCTTCAAGAATATGTTTTCTGCACTTGTGGTGCCTTTCAAGCTCTGCAGTGAGAGATTGTGCACACAGTTAGGAGAAGAGCTGCATATTCCAGTGCACACAGTTCTTCTGTAACTCTGAAGATGGAATCTATCCCCCTGATAAATAGTAGTAGTTGAGCAGTGTCTATAATAT